CAGAGTGTAACACTGGGCTATACAAATGATCTTCAGTTTAAGGGAAACTAAACCAGTTTTATTCATAAAGGTCAGTTTACTAGTTCCAGGGAGCCTGTGAAAACAGTTGCATAATGCCTCGGGAGGGAGCTCTGTGTGACAAGTGTGACAAATGCCCTCAAGTTTTCATCAAGAGCTCAGAGACTGCAAATTTAAAACAGAAAGCCTAAGTTACAAATTGGGGATGTCAGTTAGAAAGACATGGACCTTTACCAGGCAGGAAAGGTGAAGATGAAGAGAGGCTATCATTATTATTGGGAAGCATAGAATCTGGAATGTTTGGTGCTTGGCCCATGCTGGGGAATAAAAGTCAGAGTAGCAACAATTTTTACTATTATTTTTATTTTCCTCTTTGTATTCCTCAACCAAATTGCTGGAGTACGGTAATTTGAAGTAAGAACGATTTTCTCTAGATGTCAGGAAGCAGCTGCTGGCAGCCAAACCATGCTCTTAGGATTATTTTAGGGTTTTCTACATTAGACAGAGATTGTGCCAGGACCAGAAGAGCATGGTAATTCAGTGTTTTATCTTCCTCTAAAAGGTGTCATTTGTGTTATATATTCATTTGTTGTGATTTTGCACCTGCTGCGCATTGGTACGCTGTACTCTAGTTCTGCTGTACTCTAGTTCTGCTGTACTCTTGGTCTGCTGTACTCTAGTTCTGCTGTCAAAAGAAGCTGTTGCAGTAGATCCTGTCCACATTGTTCTTAACATCATGACCCTGTTAGATCACTGTGACACAGAGCACCCTGCTTCTGGCAAAGGAAAGAAACCGATGCAATCCAATTGGCTCTCACGACTGCTACTGTTCATATATGTACCCAAAAGTTATCCTTTTTCAACTGTGCTGTAGCTGTTCTGCAAAAAGTTGTCATCTCACACAGAAGAGTATCTAGATCCTACTGTAGTAGTGGCAGTCTGTGCTGGTTCCAATGAAAAACAATATGAAATTACACGATATTGTTACATAATTAGTTTCCTCTTTAATCATTTGTTTGACATTGTTACAGTATAACACCCAATGGAGAGCAACAGGGTGAGTGAGAAAATGTTAAGGGCTGCCCATACCCATACCGAGAACAATAATGATAATGATGTGAGCATCCACACTGATAAAATAATCTTATGCAACGGCCCCAGCCTAGGAAAATTTATATTGATTAGCTGTTACTGCTGTACTACTTTTGGTTGGGAGGGGGGGGTAAAGACATCATTAAGGAGTTTGGAGACCCCATCAGCACTAAAGACCATTGCCTGGTAATATGGCGTTTTTTTATGTGTGATTTGCAGCCTAATATGTTGTATAAGCGTTTAATAAGTTGTATACCACAATATCGTTCATCAAACTGCTCTGAAAGTGATCCCATGTTACATTTGGTGAAATAGTGGACCCAAATGAAAGACACAGATACAACTGTATGGTGAAGTTAAGGTTTATTGCAAAAACTTGAGATTGAGATAGTGATTATCAGAGGGTGGAGGGCTTACTGGAGGTGTCTGATGGAGAGCCGGTAAAAAGCTTCAGGCAGGCGTGCAAGGTGTGGTCCCGAAGCAGAAGAATTGCAATTACCCAGGAGCATAACACAATAAACTGAACTGTTGACTGAATACGGGCTTGTTGGAGGTAATTCAGGAGCTGAGATTCAATGTACTGTGTATGTCATTTATATTATAAAAGATCATATATAGGCGCTTTACAAATACTCAAGGTTGTATCTGCAAAGGGTTAGTATGTTATAGCTTTGGGGAAAAAAACTGGATTGGACTCAAATGCAACACTTTACATGCATCAGGATGTCTTCAGTGATTTAATGAAGATAACTTACAGGCAGGTGTAGGTAGGCAGGCAGATAAATGGGTAGTCCATGAAAAGCAGGAAGTCCAACACAGGAACACAGGAACACAGGGAAAATGTAACCAGGGATGAAAGAACCAGCAAGGTCACACTTGAAGGCAGGGCACAATGTCTGCCATCATAGCCTGCTACTGGCTGCATCCCACTGCCTCGCTCTTTGTAGTCTTGATGATGATGAATGGTACAAACAGGAACTTTCAGACATTCTCTCCTTGAAGCCATTCATGTTGTTGCATGTGGTTGTTCACATGAAAAGTGGGGGAAGTATTTGTGTGAAGAATGAAAAGAATTGAGCTTGATAAGTTCAAACCCTGTTTACTTTCACACCTCCACACACCTGGCCAATCAGAGGGGATCAGATTGTCTGTTGTTTCATGTACAGTAAGGTCTTAACAAGACTCAGATTAAAAATGTTATTACATTGCAAGGCTCACGGTTGGTTCAAATCTCCAGGCAGAGGTGAGTTTCAGATGAAAAGCAAGAAGCCAACTGAGCGAAGACGTACATTTTCCTTGCTGATTCATATTTCTCAGAAAAATGAGCAACAACACGGTTCATAATTGTAGTGGATGTACGCTCCATTCAGAATCCTTTCAGAACAGCTCATAGGAATTAGACCCCATTCATATTCCCCACAGGGATATTGGAGTTCACACATCGTTGTACTTTATGGCGGAGAAGATTAGGAAAATAATGACTTCCAGTTACAGCCACTATAGATTAACAACCACATCAGTCCCTGCAGACACATTACAGTTGTTTGGTCATATAGACCTATTGACTTATATACCTCAGGAGAGAAACAAATAACAACAGTAAAATATAACGGTCTGTACATTTATATTTAACCAGAAAAGTCTGTGCACTAATCCTGATAAGTTTGTCCAAATTAGTTTAAGAATTATAGTAAATCTGGTCGTATATTTTTACAGACTGTGTGACAAACAGACTGTGTCATCTGGCCCAATAAATCACCACAGTCCCCGTGGTGGCTGTGGAACTGGCACATAGATTAACTATTCATAATGGTAGTCTCTCTGCCTCTCTCTTTCTCTCTGGCCTTATTCAAAGTGCTCTAATTAATCAGCCTTAAATAGATGGACAGACCTACATTACTGACACAACTCCTCATACACCATGTACTATTTAATACACAGATGGCACCACAGGCTGTATGCACTGGTGTGTGTGTGTGTGTGTGTGTGTGTGTGTGTGTGTGTGTGTGTGTGTGCATGTGTGTGTGTGTGTGTGTGTGAGTGTGTGTGTGTGTATGTGTGTCAAAATACTGTATCTTAAATAAAGACATTATAGAAAAGCTGTAGTAATACAATTCTTGTAACCAAGACCTTTTTCACAGCAGCCATTTTGACATGAAACAGTAGGGTAAAGAGAGGTGTTACATATGATACTAATTAAGGCTTTGTTCCATTTATTGTAGCAGAGCCTTCCCAGTGAGAAAACATGCGCAAAAGCAGCACCCTGAGTCTGGTCGACCTGAACGGAACCTTAATCAGTATCATTGGTAACACCTGTGTTTACCCTACTGTTTCATGTCAAAATGACTGCTGTGAAAAAGGTATGTTGCTGAGATCTGGGAACATTATGACATTGTTATATCAAAGTTCAGCAGTGCAAGAAACATGAGCAGTCAGTCGGCAAAGCTTTCTTCTTTCCCATCAAACCAGCCCCTGCCAGTTAACAGCGTACCTGATTCCCAGCCTGCTAGCCTCCAACCTGCATCCTTGTCAGCTAGCCTTCAGATCGTCCCCATGGTCCCCGAGGCTCCTGAGGCCATCAGCTTTCTTAGGTGTCCAGTGACTCGGACTCTCCGCCGCCCAGAGCCACAGAGCCTCCATTACTCAGCACTCTGCAGCCGCTGTTCACCAACTTCCAGCCAGATCATCAGTCTTTCATCCCAGCTGCCAGATCAGGCCGTCTGTGCTATTCAGCTGTCACCAGCCTTCTGTCCTGCATTCTAGCTGTCCACCTGTCCTGGAAGCACCCTGCCTCAACCTACAGCCGATCTCCATTGTCCAGGCCAACCAGCTCTTTGGTTCTGCCTGCCTACCTCTATACTTTACCTACCCTACTCCTATGGATTCTTCTTTTTCTTCTCTACCACTTTTACTAATAAATAACTGAACCCTTCCTGTCAGCCCAGTTGTCTGCATTTGGATCATTTTCTTTGCTGCATCATACAAACGCCATGACACATCTAATGAAAGTCAAATATTTAGCTGTTTATCTGTCTGCTGTTTGGAGCTGGACAGTGGACAAGCTTTAGTTGAAAACAAGCGCTATAAAACCAAAACAATTAGCTATACAAATACACTAATTGTACGTGTCCACAGGATCAGTTATTTTTGAGTTTCCCATTCATTGTCAAGCAGCCATGTAGTGCATTCTGATAGCACTGCGATGCGTTTCGAGAGAGGCGTCACATTGGCCGCTCCTCCTCAGTAGCCTAGACCTCTACTATATGGCAAATCAGGGGCATCCACCAGCGCAACTCGCTAACCGCTAACTGTTGTTGATCTAAAATGAAGACAGATTCAGCAACTGCATGGCTTATTTATGGTGGCTTATTTATTTCATAAACACATTTGTACACTGTTTTCGTAATATAAGAGGACTTTTCCAAATGAGCATGCTGAGTTGGTCAGATGCAGGAGCAGAAAGCGTTTGTCCAATAAGGTTCAGCCGCTATTGGAGGGTGGAGCCTTTTGTTGGTCAGTATGACTACAAACGTCCAATGCTGGAAAGCCCCACGACCCCTCATGTCCAAAAACGCTCCTGTGACCACTTACCATACAACCCTCAGACTGCAGAGTTGGGGGTCCTGTGGGTTTCTGAGTACTGGCAAACCCTTAAACATTACACATCCATTGTTAATCTAAAACTATTGATAAGTGCAGCGTTTTGTTCAAGGTTCTTTTCTTTAGGTTCTCTTTGATTCACACAGTATTGGTGAATCTGGGTTAGAGTACAGGGTAGCATATAGTGTAGTGTAACCCAAGCATTGACCTATTACTTCCCTGCCCTTTCCTGTAGAACAGGATTAAGACAGCTGAGACAGACACCAAACAGGCCAAAGAGAGTCACCATACACCATCAAGTTTAGTCTTTATTTGTACATTAATGCATTTCAACAAGGCTTGAGAATACAGCACATTATAAGATTTCACATAAATCAGATTTTTCCACTAAGAATTCCTCTCAGGTCTTAGTTCTTAATCACCACTAAGCTTGAACAGTGATCAGCATTTACATGAACAACAAAGTATTACGCGTATGGCCTGATATTACTGGATTTTACATAAGTCAGTGAAGGATGCGTAAAGTAATTTATCCTTAATATATCACAGTGAAACTAGATGTCTTGCCACAGTTTAACGCGAGCGAAAATCAAAGATTATTTCATTGATAAAAATAGTACATACAACTATCTGGCTTATCCTCTCATTTGGTCCAATTTTTGAGCTTTGAAGTTCAGTTCTTTCCAGCAAACATGTACAGCAGCAGGGTTAGAAAATACATCATTATTCCAATAGAAAGCAAGTTTTCAAGTGCTACACATCATCGTGCCAATTGTCTAATATATTAAAGAAAAGCCCACACAGATTACACAGGTTAATGAACAGTGTCATGTAAACAGCCTTTTTAGAATGAGACCTCAGCCAGAGCATGGAGTCGGTGTGATGTAATAGGCAGTGTGAACCACCAGACAATTTGTCCTGGTAGTTTTATAAATGCCACAGCCCTGTTCCATTTCAACAACAAGAAACAGTCAGCTTCAAACAAGCAGCACAGCTCTCTACGCATGATCACATCGAGATGCCAGAGCTGGCAGAGAATCACCAAGACACGGCCTGGAGCCCCACTGTGGAGCTGCGGGGGGAAACTTGCTCTCCTAAACTTGATCTACAGCCATATTCCAATGCAGTCTTTCATATAGAATAAAAAGGAGGAGATTGCATCAGTGAAAATTATGTCTTTCATAACACATACACCCGCTCCACTCTTTATATTGCTCATATGTGAAATGTGGGTGGAATGTGTCCAAACTATGTGGAATATCACAATGTGAGCTTGGCCACTTCCAAATAAGTGCTAATTCTGTTGTTTTGTAAAAGATTCACTTTCTGACTTTATTATTGCACTAGCAGATCCCAAAATGCAAGGCTGGATTATTAACAAAACTAGAACAGGACCCAGGCCCCCAAAAGTCCCAGGTTCAATTCATGTAATAGGTTTTTGGTAATTTGATTAATGACAGATTTGTTGGCAGGACTAAAGTAAAACACCAAAGCCAAATCCTGCTTTATGAACTTATTATGTGACCCCAAAATTTAGTTTAAACTGTGTTATTTTAGTTCACACCATGGCTGCTCAATAATCTCAATTCTGATTGGCCAACAGGTGTGGATTAACTATTAGTAACTGGACAATGTAAGTGGACACGTAGGTGTTTGTTGCCATTCTAAATGAGTGCATCCGTAGGTACTGTCTATCTATACTGGTATTTAGTTTTCTTGTTTTCGACTTCCAAATGCAAAAGTCTTATTTAAATTTCTCTGTTACTTTTTTTTCTCCGCTGTTTGCCCTTGCAGCCTAATCTGCAGCTAGGGACGTTATACCATATCACTGCGTATTGCAATAAAAAACACTCACAAAAACGCATAAATGTATTGTGATAATCATGAATATGCTCACACAGCTTTTTTAAAAAGCTGTGTAGCTCTCCAGCATATACTATTTCCTGAATTATTTTGAACAAGGGGACAAAAGGGAGCCAGCATCATTCCAAAATCCTAATCCTGTCACCGTGGCTGAAGGCTCAGTTTGCCAGTTGTATCCCCACAAAAAAAAGGTTAAACTGTAGAAAACCATGGAAAAAGTATAGATTCCTAAATAAAGAACAGGGAGATGTGTCTGTAATACAATAAATCAATGTGTTTCTTAACAAAATGTAAGGTAAAGTGATTCCAGTATGTTTTAGTGCTATTCTAAAAGTATTAATTATATTTTCATGATTATCGTGATAATATTGTGTATTGTAATTAGTTTAGCCAAGATAATTGTGACAGGAAATGTTCATATTGTCCTATCCCTATCTGCAGCATGCACTTACCTCGCAGGAGCACGCAGAAAAGTATAAGTTGTAAAACAATTTTTAAACATACAAAAAATACTGTCAATCAGAGATAATAACCAGGTTCATCAGTGCTGACAGGTGGAGACTGTAGCCTGTTGTGAACGTAGGAGTGACCAAGTGAACATAGATAGTGTTTCCTGCGGTGTGCAAGGTTTTCTACATTAAACCCCACCGGTGAAATCAGTTTTTGTCCTCACCGCTATGCTTTTAAGCGTGGGAGTTTAGACAGTTATCCTGTGATGCGTATAAGAGGAGACAATACTGCTCTTGTTCCCTTAATTGACTGAGGAGGGGGCAGCATTATGATCACATACAGATCCACACTAAAAGGGATTATGTAAATGACACGGGGTATAGTTGTGTGTATGGGGATTATTTAAGAAAGGAAATCTTCTGAGAATAAAATAATATCGCTAGTCAGTAAACTCAAAACTAAATGTCACTACTCTACAGACATCACAGTTCTTTCATTATCATTACAGTGCTTGGCCTTCTGTAGCCTATGCCTCTGGATATTTCTGGTTCCTATACGATTATTACGTCTGTCAACACTGCTGAACTTGATAGTAAAGGTTAATATGTGTCATTAACTCCTGAGAAATCATTAAAATGACTGATAACATTCTACTATTTTGTCCTGCGAGGACCTGCCAGGTATGGGCAGCAATCATGTTCAGCACAAACGCACAAGGAAGAAAGGTCTGACAAAATCTAAAAACAGAAATGAGATTTGTTGTTTTGTTTCGCAAAAAAAACTAAAACTTATTTCCATTTTTGATGCCCTCAAAAACTTTCAGATTTCAGATGAAATAGGCTAATTGAGTAACCGAATGATACACAGACCTTAAACAGACAGGCAGTTAGTGCATGCCAAAAGAGCAATAATGGTTCCCTTGTCTTATTTACATTTTTTAAAATGGCTTGCTAAGTTTAACGTAAGGTTAGGACTTTATGGAGTACTCTGTGCAGTCATCAAAGCTAATCTAAGCTAGTTGCTGAATGGTCAGTAAATCCCTCCAAACTGTAAACCGTCATGTCTCCCTTTTATATTTTATAAATACAAAAGTTGCAGAGTGCGAGTGTGGAGGATTTGGAGTTGTTTAAAGGCACCTTTGATGGAGCTGGGCAGAGAAAAAAAAAGCAAGTCATGTAATGAATTACTTTTTCAATGAGTAATTAGTAAAGTAAAGTAATTACTTTTTAAATGAGTAATCAGTAATTGATTACAGTTCAAGTAAATTGCCCAACACTCCAAGTTGTACATTCCATGATTGTAATGGATTTCGCGGAGGCTAACACACCTTTTTGTGTCTACATCCCTACATGCATTTCTGTCTAATCAAATTACCACAAACTGACACACACAAAAAACCTGGGGCCAGGTAGCATTATTCCAGCCCCCTAACTTTTATGTTTTGAAACTGCAATATCAAGGAATGTACATCCAATGCATTTTAACATGGTTAATAAAATCAGAAGCTGCCAGGGTCTGTGTTTTTAAACCTTACTCATTAGTTCGGTCCTGATTAACATTCTGACATTCCTGCAGCTTTACAAATACAGATATGCTATCAAAGCACTTAATTACTCTGTGGATGTGCTTGTAAATCTGAGCTCAAAAGAAATAAATCTCTCAGTGAACCTGACAGCTGCATTCAGCTCTACCAAATCCTGTCGGTTTACACAGAGCATAATCATCAAGAGTTAGAACTGGCTGAGCGTTTCACTGATCATAAAGGCAGTTAAGGCAACAGTTTTCATCAATAAACTTACCCCATCAATCAAGAAATATGGCCACAGCATCCCCACATTTCACCCTCCAAACTCTACTGCCTTTACCTTCACTGTCAAACACACACACTTAGTTGAGTTAGAAGTTGTCAAAATTCAAACAGTTACCTCTCACGGCCCAATTTGAAGTGCAAATGTAAAATAGTACAACTAAACCTGCTTGGGAAGCGATATGCCTGTCAGGCCATGATTTCCCACGCAGTCTTTCATAACCACCTCAAATTGTAACAAGAATGATTATTGTGTAACTGACAGTAATCTGTGAACCTGACACCTTCCCTTCGTCACATTTGTAATAGGATAACAAATCTGATAGCACTGCGCTCTCATTTAAAGGTGCTACATGTATCATTTTTAACATCAAATGATTACCACGTTCATTTTGACGCATTAGTATAATTACTCAACAACAAGACCACTGCTGGGATGACTGGCGGCTCTACCAGCCTCCGCACTGCAGTTTTACATTGTGTGTGCCACCAACTTAGATTTGGAGGGAAATCTTCTGGACTGCTTTACTTTCAGCTAAATCTGTCAAATGTTCTCACTGCGACAAATGGTGGCCTCCAACATGTTTATCCTCTCCAGTAAAGCCAAAGATGCTGCAGAGATGAGGAGAGACAGTACATAAGGGGGATTATGGGAGATAAAGTCTTTTGAGAAACACTAGCACTAAAAATAACACTAGAGTGTGACAAAGGCTATCGATCATCTCAGCCATGGTCCCATTGTTTATGGCAATTATACTAAGCTGCCCGATGATGACTTGATGTTTAAAAATGTTACACATAGAACCTCTGAATGAGTGTAAGACTGCATTTACAATTAGTATTTGGCGGTATAAATAAAATCAAACTCAGCCATTATTATACACATCACTCAGGCAACACTTTCCACATATGAAACATAGAATATAGCATGAATTTGTAAGCATATTGCTCAATTATTACATTCACAATTTCAAATCTAATTGATAAATAACACATTTAAATTAAATAATATTACTAAATCCTGCCATTATTTATTCGTGTTTGCACATTCATCACATATATATGTCTCGCTCTATAATTATCTCAATGTTCAAAATATATTATTGACACACTGTTAAATACACTGTAAAGTTGGATGTGATTATAAAATACATTGTACACTGTAAAGTTTGACCTCAGTCGGCTTTTAAAAGTCTGTTTTTAAAGTACAGATATGAAGTAGTAAGAGTAGGCGTTAAAGTGAGGCATTATATGGGAAAGGAAGTGTAATTTGATATAAGGCCTGAGACACATTACGATGTTTGATCTTTATAAAACAATAATAGAATGTCGGAGTCCGACACAAATTCTTGTCTCCAACTGTAGTCACTTTTATGTGTCATGTGACTCCAACATTCCAACATTGTAGTAATGTTTGAGGTGACCAAGCCAAATAATTGACAATGCTTGATATGTGAATTTTGTTTTAGGAAGGATTTTGTAGTTGTGTGTATTCTGTACAGTACATTCAACAGAATAAAAAACCCCACAGAACTATTCTTATTTATTATTTAGATGGAGAATAATGTGACTGTGTAACTAATAAATCAACCCTGTGTTTCAAAATTTGGCCGCTGAAAACAGAACCCCATTAAGAATGACACTGTGCATATGTTACTGTACCTAAGTGTTCAATCAGTGGCCGTATTTCCACATAATCTCAACCTGAAGGTCTCTGTTTAGCCTGAGTCTCACACTCTCTCAAACTTAAACTGATTATATACGATATTCTGTAGGCTATTCTAAGAAAATGCAACAAATAACTAGTCTTTTATGCAGCCTTTAGAAGGTCATAAGAAGGCAATGGCAGCAGCTTGATGCAAGATTCAAAATTTACAGGCAAAAACAGGCTGGAGTCGTTCCCACCATCAGTTTCTACAGAATGAGTTGAAGATTTTTTCTACCTTTCTGCAACCAACTCCGTTTCAGGCAATGACAGATTCTCCCAAATGGTTGGACAAAAACAATTTCCTTCACATATCAACCAGAAGAGGATGACGATGGTGACGATGATGAAGACGATGAAGATGAAGGGGAGGGCCTATGGGTCTCGCCTTCCAGTTCTGTGAACCTTGCCAATGATGATGATGTCACTTCCTTGTCTTTCTCCTTCCTGCTTCCTGTGCAGACTGACCTCTGGGCTGGTTTAAACTGCCATGTCACCTTCTTCGATGTTGACGACTGCTCTACTGTTGCCTCCCGCTTCAGTGGCGTAGTGACAGGCTGAGTTGCCATGGGAATGGCCTGTGTTGCTGCCATGCTAGTGGTAACCCCTGTAACCTTCCTTGCTTTGCCATTGTTGTTTTTGTCCTGTTCCCTGAAGAGCTCACTCAGCACTTCAGGCTCGGTGGTTTCTCCAAACAAGTCCCAGCCCAGTTCAGCAGGCAGCCGCTTGGGCCGTGCTACGCTGGCACATTTGTTGCCAGCAGCAGAGAATCTGGAGGAGCGACTGGGATCGGAGTCAGACAGGTCCGAGTCCCAGTCACTGTCCCCTGCCACCGAGCCACAACCCAGCACTGACAGATCAACAGGGCCAGATCCTGAACTTTCCGAGTCTGAGTCCCTGGAAAAACACAACAGACAGAATCTGAGTAAAATATTGTACTACTGTATTATTGTATTGCAGTGACCAAAGTAATCACTGTCTTCTACAGCTTATAACCAATCGTTTCAACATATTTCGCTTTTATATTCATTACTCTATATGTATTTGAATGGTGTTACAGCACTGCTGTCAAGAATGCTGCAGAGATTTGAACTCTGATGCAAGCCATCATATTTTGTATGTTATTGTAAATGACAAAACATTATAAGTAGAGCTGAATTTTAAACACAGAGAAAGGGAATAACACATTTTCATTTAAAATAATCTATAATGAGTTTGTAATGGAAATTAGATGAAATGGGACGGTTATGAATCAAAGAAGGCCTTTGCATGGAAATGGAATTCCAAAAAATGGTTCAACAGGACATAACAGTAAATTGGCAACCGCCCTGTGAAGGTAATCTAGGCACGTTCCACTGGGAGGAGACACTGTGGAAGACCCAGAACACACTGGAGGGATCACATCTGGGCTGGTACTTTCTTGTTATACATTAGGGAGAGCTGGAAGACATGGCTAGGGAAAAATATGTCTGGGCTACCTTACTTAGCCAACTGCCACTGCAACTTGGATGAAAGGATAAGTGGAGCAGAAAATGAATGGATGGGTGAATCTATAGCTAAATGAACAAAAATACTTTGAAATGCTGTTAAAATGTTTATCCCTATACTGAATTACAGACAATGAAATACACTTAAGCAACAGTGAACACACAAAAATGCACATACCTGCCACTGTAGGATGTGGTTCCTGCAGGGCCCAGTAAGAGGCATGCTGGAGCAGCCAGGTAGACAAAGCTGTCAGTGCACAGAAAGTCTCCTTCCTCTGGTTTTTGTGGGGCCAGGGGAGTCGGCTTGGCGTCCCGTTTTGACTGGCCCAAGTGTGTTTTCATGCTATCCAAGTGTTGCTGTACACTGTCTTGTTTTGTATCGCGGATGGGAACTTCAGACATTGTGGTGACTTCACCCTGGGAGGCAGGTCTTGCAGACACAGCAAGGTAAACAAAGCTGTCTGATTGAACAAAAGGATCTAAGTCACCACAGTCTAGTCCTGAGCTTCTGATTGGCTTCTGATTAGGATCTAGAAAGTGTTTGATTGGTTGTTTTGAGGGAGACAGAGGAAGAGGGGAGTCACTTCCCATGAGGGTCACCTTTTTCCTAGGTGGAATTTCTTCACTTTGTGGAGCATTTAGGGTCATGGGGCCCTCAATATCTGCATGGTCGTGTGGGGACTTAATGACTGAAACCGTTCCTATTTTTCCAACTCTCCTTCCATTCTCATCTTTCCATCTCTCTTCATCTCCCCCCATATTTCCACACCCTGCTTCCTCTCTTTCACCATCTCCTTCTATGTCTTCATGCATGGAGGTGTTGAGGAGTGATGGGTAGCACCATTGCAGCTCTGCACTCTCCTCCCTACCCCATTCCTTCAACCCTCCTTCGTCCCCGTCTTTCTCCAGTGACGTACTGCTGCTGCCTAGGTCGGAGCCACTGATTGGTTGGTCGCTGTCAGAGCCGGCCTCTTCCTGGCTCTGATTGGATAAGGAGAGGAAGACGCCACTGGAGTCGGACTCCAGCGTGAGGTTCGAGTCTGGAGAGCTGTCCTCCTTAGTGTAGCTAGAAAAAACAGACAGTCAAATTACTGCTGCATCCCCATGTGTCTGCTAAATTCTGGTGACTTTGAATGTTCTCTCTCTAGCATTGGTTACCACAGATGCGATCAAATTTGTTTATAACCGACTTTTTAAGATCAAGGCCATTTATTTGTTTTTGTCTTTTACCCATAGAACATTTAGATTTTGTATGGCTCTAATTTGAGTGTTTGCACTGTTGCCTTGGGTGACAGTCACAACATCATAAATACATTTGTGCTCTGATTTGGCTATGGCTATGGCATGGTTTGGTTTGTGTCTTCATTTATTAGCCAGGAACAACACACATTCATGGTGAGTTGATTGGTATAATGATCTGCTAAAACCAGATTCAGGAAAGGGATTTTAACTTTGATAGTGTTGCTTTCATACCTATTTCATATGGTACGAATCAAATTAATTTACTTCTACAGTTCATTCTGACATGTGTGCTGTGCTTCATATGAATCATTATCATTTTTATAATTGTCCAGAATTGCATTATGGTCCAGACAACAAATGTTAATAAAAACTATTACACCTATTATTAACACCTATGGGGCCTTAAATTTAGACATTTGGTAGTCCATTCAAACAAATGTTTGAATGTGAAATAAAATCTCCCACCAAATCAACCTACACACAAATCACTTGAGATACAAATTTGCATTTGAATTGTTGCAATGGGAAGTCCGCTGGACTAAACTAAAACAATAGCCATTTCATAAATAGTTTAATTCTGAAGATTGGATCGAATTAACAAGCTGTGAAAACGACTTTAGGAACTTGATTGACTGATTAGATATGGTGTGCCACAGGGCTCAAGTGTTGGGACACTACCATTCTGTTCAATTTCTCTCACTCATGGCTCAGCCTCAAGAAGTTTTGAGCATTTAATCTGCATTTACTTACATGTAGAACCCAAGCACGATCAATTCTAAACTGCGAGAACTCTTGACACCACACTGCACAGAACACAGCCACAAGTCAAAATCGGGTGCTGATATATGTCATTGCTCTGTGAGTATATATCAAAAAATTAATATTTTTTAAAAAAGAAAATGACAAATGAAAAGAAAAAAATCAAATTGAAAAATTATATTTTGGTGTTTAAACCAGCTATAAAATAGTCAGAAACATAAGGTTTTAGATGTGCCATGATTTATGTCAATATGGTAACTTTGGCACCTACAGGAGTTCATTTAAAATAAAAATTATAGATATCCAGATATCCCAATAACAGTAATACATTGGCTAAATGACCCAAAAAGAACATATCAATGTATATTACAAAATAATGGCTTTGAATTGAAATGAAAATCCAATGGCATTGTGGCCCAGTGCATTTATAACCTCTTCTAAAGGGGACTTTTATCAGATTTGATCAGTGCCCTGTGCAGTGAACCTTCAGTCACCCAGGATGTCAACATCTGCCGGAGAACAGTTCAGAGTCGGTGCTGACAATATTAATTCCAACTAGGAAGGAACTACCTTGTGCCAACAGTGGATGTCCCAGTAGATTTGGTTGACCAGTCAACAGGAGGTCTGTCTGTGTCTGTAGCTGGGGAGGCCATAGCACTGAGCTCCAAACTGACCTGGGATCTGCTCCCCACTCCTGGAAAACAGAGCACAGATTCAACACAATTAAACAAGAGAAACAGGAGATATAATCAATACATTACAGCATTCACTCCCTTTGGATATCTGATCACAGCCAGTGGATCAATGTTTGCCATTGTATAGTGGATGTTTCAAAATGTTTTCATTTTTCTAGTTGATGCTTTTTTGCAGGATCAGAAAAGTGACACATAGTCTTTTTGAGAGGATAATTTTGTCAGTTGCAGTACCATAGCCAAGGTAGTATGGTGGAAAATGGGTAGAGCTGATTTAGGACAAGCAAATAGCACCCACCATGCCTCAGACACATTACATGACATTTTTGTTGATGCTGCTACTGTTCATAAAGCATTTCAAAACCTCCACTTTCACCCTGACATCCATCTATAGAGTCTACCTTCCTCTAGGGGGAAAATTATTGTCACCCCCATCCCTACTCCCTGCTATGCTGAGCTTGGTGTTTCCTTGTGTGGAGTGACAAGATTAGAGCCTGGATGCCAAACATCAATATTCTACGTTCACATAATAATCCACTGCACATGAGTTGGCCAGTTGAACTGTGTTATGTTTTCAGACCAAACTGGTCTTAGTCCTGGGCGTGACTAAAACTATCTCAAGGCTAAGGGGATCTTTTAACTATCAAAAGTCAAAGTCTAAAGTCAAGGTGTTATTGAAACGTATTTTAATACACCTATTTATTATTATGGAATTTATATATCGTAGGTATTGTGTGTCTTTAGGTACTGTATATTTTCCCTTTATGATCTCTGTATAAGATGATGCATTGTGCTGTGTGTCCAAGGATACAGAAGCACTGAAAAATAAAATTAGATCTTGAAAGACATGGCTCCTGAGGCAAATAGGAAAGGCGAGACAAAACAGAAACAGGACTGCACTGTGGTTTGACATGTTCTAAAGTCAAGCTCACCTGGGGAGTGACTTGTTCTCACTTTTTTAAAGGACAAAACAGCAACAGAATACTATATTTATTAAATTAAATAAAAGCTTCCTGTGATCCTGTCAAAGGCCCTCTGTTATTTGGCTCATTATTCCTTTCTCAAGTCATGTTACAGCACTGTCCTGATATTAATGAGGAGAAAATACTGGAAAATGTCTATCTATGTCTCTTCCTGGCAACTGATTAATACATCAGTTCAGAGCAATGAACAGTTGCACTTTGCTGGCACCAATTCACCACCTGTTATTTTGGTACATGTATAAATGAAATACTTCACGGCCGACATCCCAGCCAAACTCTCAGCCACACACAATAGAGTAACTGCTGAAATCAGGAAACTGTTTAGTGTATACAATGTAATAATACTGCTGTTTGACTGGTCACATAATGTAATAAACATAAACAATGAATTTAAAAATGTGACTTATTAGGTTTTATTGCAAAATGTTACATCCAGTTAAACAAATTAAGCATCTGTTCATTGTTAAATTAAAATACACAATACAAATTAATACACTGTCTAAACTAAAATGTCCTACTTTTTACTTTGTCTATAAATACCAGTAATTTACCATAGTCATCTTTATTTTCATCAATGCAACTTGAGATATAAATGCTAGTATTTCTTAAAGGACCAGTGTGTAGGATTCAGTGGCATCTCGCAGTGAAGATGCAGAATTAAACTATTGAATACAATCCCAGCCATTGATGCATGTAGGAGAAACTATGGTGGCTACAAAAGGGCCCTATCAAGAGCCTGTCTTTGGTTTGTCCATTCTGGGCTACTGTGGAAACATGGTGATTCAACATGGTGGCCTCCGTGGAAGAGGAACCGCTACCCCTGTAGATAAATGTCATGGTTGATATTTATCAGCTTTTCTATATCTTTGTGTAATAACTGGGCACACATCCCCTCCATGGAAACCCCAAAGCTCCAATTCACAATAAAAATTGTAGAATTTTGTACCACATCAAATAAGTTGGCTTCTGCATTGTTACCTGATTTTGTGCCTTTGTCTTGTGTCAAAATCTATTTTCAAGAACTTTACTATTAGTTTATATGAACAATTAATTCATAATAATGAATAATTAATCATAAAGCAGAGTCCAGGATAGTCTGACCTTTTGCCCCTAGTATGGGTCGAGCTCTAAAAACCCTGGATTGTACATTTTCTTTAATGCAACTCTTTTCTCAGTCCATGCTTTCAGTTTGTAAGGCAAGCTTTCTGTTATAAATTTTAAGTATCCAAGCCAAAGCCAGGATAACCCAAATGACATAATCAGGGGCTTTTTTCAAACATGACAAAGCTCTTAAGAAGCTATAGACATTATACAAATGTTTTCATAGGTCAAGCGTAGCCAATAAACTGACCTTTAAATAAAATTAGTCAAGTTCCCTTTTTTCATAATATTAAATTCCCCAATTCCAGTATATTATTGCAAGCTGATGAAGAATGAAGAAATATGGGAAGAATGAAACCAAACGTTCAGAAAATCCAACTAACATCTACCTGTCATGAGAGCAGCTTTCTCCCTCTGCGGCCCAGGGTGTGTTTGGTACATGTCAGCCCGTTCTCTCTGTGGCTCCAGCAGTGTTTGGTATAAAGCCTGGGTGTCCCTATGGGGCTGAGACAGGTCTAGGTGCTCCAGGTCAGAGTCAAGCTCCCTGGCTCTCCTTTCTAACTCTGTCAGGCTGAGCTCCGAGGCTGCTGAGGAGGGGGGGTGGGAGCCCCCAAAGCCAATCGGGGGCCGGAGGAGAGGCCAACGTTGCAGGGAGCCTGAGAAGGAATCTGTATCACCCACTCCTCCTGCTCCCCCTTTCTCCCAGCCGTCGTCCCACAATGTGGTGACCATCTCAAGGACAGAATCCCAACTCTCCATCCCCCCTTCCTCTCCAAATGTCCCTCCGTCTCCTCCCTCCACCTCACCTTCTTCTTTCTTTAATTTAGCCACCACCTCCTCAAACTCTTGTCCATGCTGCTCTTGTATTCCATCCTTAATCTTCATCCCTCTATCTTCTACCTTTTCGCACTTTATTTCTACATGCTTTTCCTTTTTCATAACATCTTTTTTGTTACCATCCTCTTGCACTTTCCCTTCAAAGTTTCTCTTTGATTTTTCTTGTTTGATTTCCTCCACCAGCCCCTCATTAACAGTTACCTTCTCTTTCTCCTTACCCACGTTCTCCTCTCTTTTGTCTTTCTCTTCTCTCCTCTCCTTTTCTCTCTTCTCTTCATTCCCCTTCCTCTCCTCCATCTCAGTCTTCTCATTACTGTTCTCTCCTTGTTTCTCCTTGCTCCTGGATCTCTTGTGTTCTTCCTGCTCTCTGCAGACCCTCCAGTGTTCCAAGTTCTGCTCCTTCAGGGAAGCCCTGCCCACCAAATTGGCCCCCTGTCCTGGTTCAGGATGGGGGGGCTCTTTAAGTGAGCATCGTCCCACAATACTTGTGGCATTAATTACATTTGTTAGCACGTTCTCTGAGAAGCCTTGACGGGGGTGGAGGTGGGCATGTGGGCGCCTCTTCTCCAATGCTGAGAGGACAGAGGGGAGTGGGGGGAGAATAGGGAGGTTGTGGAGTGCCCCACCCTGCCGAACAGTCCTCTTTCTGACCATGATTCGGCGAGGCCAGGTGGACTCAATGCCCTCAGTGGGGCCTGTTGACTCAAGGTCCCCAAGCCCTCTGCTTAGTCGAGGGCTGACTACACCTGGTCGGAGCCCTGTGGCCGTGCCAGGTCGAGTCCTGGAGCTGGACTTGGATGATTTGGATTTATGGGACCTGGAACCTTTCTCTACATGGGTAGATTCTATTTTATCCATGTCCAAAGTATTTTTCTCAGCTTGCTTTGCAGGGGCTGTATCCGTTTTATCCCCAGCCACAACACTTATCTGAGCTTCATCTTTTGTCTTGCTGTTGTTCTGGCTTTCAACTCCAGTCTCAGTGTTACTCTTAGTCCCTGTCTCATTACTAACCCTAGTTTTTGGTACTGCTTCAGGCTCAGATGTAGGAGCAATCTTAACTTCTGTCTCAACTTTAGCTTCTACTCTGGACTCTGCTGCTAAACCAACATCATTATTAATAACTTTTGCTGCACCTCCATCTGTTCCAGTCCTGTTCTCCACCTGCCTTGAACTAGTTTTAGATTCAACCCCTGCTTCAATCTCTGACTTCATCCCCAGACCAGATCCAGCTCCTATCTCAACTTTATCTCCAGTCTCAACCTTATTCTCAGTGTCAATCACAGTTGAAGGTATAGCCTCAGCAATACGTTCTGGTTTAGCCACAACCCTTCCAGATTTTTCTCCACCCCTTGTCCCTCCCCTGTGTCCCTCCTTGCTCAAAACTGGAGCCATATTTTCCATCCCAGATTGCACTTTTCCTTCCAAATCCCGTCCCCCTGGTCTTGTTTTGACCTGGGTGCCCATTCTTGTTTCAGACCCATTTTTAATGCTAGCTCTGGATCCGTTGTCATATTTGTTCCAACTTTCTGTTCTATGGTGTTCTTGCATTCCAGCTCTGATTTCTGCCTCTGACATTTTTCCAGATGGAACTTCACTTACTAACCTTGGCCCACACCCAGATTTACTGTCAACTAACACCAAACCCACACTTCCATTGTCAAACTTTGAAACCATAACGCCACCTACACTTTCAGGGCCAACCTTTGACCCAGCTCTATTCCTACCCACAGCTCCGCAGCCCATTCTGGGGGCAGCACTGGGGGAGGGTGAAGGTGAGGGCTGGGGGTGCAACAGGGGCGTTGTGTCTAGAACCTGGTCGGACTCTAAAAACACAGAGTCTCTGTCTGAACGCAGAGGAACTGGTCGACCATAACCAAAGGTCCCAAAAGAGGTTTCCCTCCTCTCCCTTTCTCTCGCCCTCTCCCTCTCCAGCCTCCCCCTTTCCCTCTCTCTTTCCCACTCTCGCTGGGCCCACCCTCTCTCCATCTCCCTTTCTCTCTCCCTCTCCCACTCCCTTTCTCGCTCACTCCGGCCCCATCCTCCTCCTCGATCCCTCAGGTCCTGCTCGAGATCGTGAGCAGACAGTTGGACCAGCGGGGCACGGTACGGGGATCGTCTAAGCTCCTGTGGTGGTGACAGCCTGAGGCTCTGGGTTTGGGAGTAATGCCTTGGCTGGATGACCTGGGGAGGGGAGCAGCGTAAACTCTGAGTCTGACTGGGGCGAGGTTTGGCAGGGGAGAAAAAAACTGGAGTATGGTAACCCGAAGAGAGAGGTGAACCAGAGAAGGGGGAAATGAGGGGGGAGGTAAAAGAGGAGGACTGGCCCCCAGGAGGGTAGTGCCCTGGGTTCAGGTACCCGCCTCCTCTGTCCATCATTTCAGTTGTAGTAAGCTCTAGACACTCCAGGTGTTTTGGAGGTGTCAAGACTTTCCAGGAATGTCGACCATCTCTGCTTTTTGTGCTGTCTCCATGGTGATGGTGGTGGTGATGGTGGTGTTTCTTGGATGAGGAGGAGGACACTCCTGGTGCTGAGAACGAGGACACAGAGGGAGAAACTGATCGAGTGAAACGTCCTGGAGAATGGCATCCGCCACCATCTGCATCCTGACTCCCAAGCTTCAATGAATCATAGATGGTTCTTTCGTCCAGTCGCCGCACAAACGAGGGGTTTGGAGTTAAAGAGCGGGGCTGTGCATCAAACATGTCAGCTGGAGACCTGCTAACCCTCAGGGAACCGCTTGCAGAGTAGCTGAAACTTCCCTCACCTCCACAGTCTCGCCTTATGGACCCTCCAGGGTGATGGTGATGGCTGTCAATCTGTTGATTGATGCACATGGTATCATAGATGGACCGTTGGGGTACGTAGCCGTCTCCGTATCCCCCTTCCATTCCCCCAGCTCGCCCTCCCACTCCCCCATCCCCAGCTCCATGTTTCTCCAGGCAGCAGGAGCTTTTCCTGAAACACCCGGGACGGCTAAGAGGCTTGCCCATGATTGGTTGGATGGCTGATGGTGGGAAGGGTTGGTGGGAGGCACGTTTGAAGCTTGAAGAGCGAATTGTGAATTTGTTAATTTTACTAATTCTGAAAAATGTTGATTTCAGAATGTGGAAGATGCATGGCAGCTGGCTTAGACAGGGCCATGGCAAAATAAAAGAAATGGAGAAATGTCAAACTGTCAAAAAAATTTGCTTTTCTTTCCTGGTAAAACACTGAAGCATATTCCTTCTGTTTTAATGAGAAGTCAGGACAATCTTGTGATCAAAGTATGGCAGTGTTGCAAAAAAAATCCGTCTGTCAAAAGCTCCATGACATAAAAACAATGTAAACAACATAATGTCCACATGAAATTTGGAGATGGAATCCTTCTTTGAGAAATATTCCAACCAGATTTTGAAGAAAAACATGAAAATTTAAGACAAAATATGTCCAGTTTTTATGTCCACAGGTTACTGTTCTTAGCTCATCTTTTCTCCCACTCTCTTCCCAGCATGACTGCATTTGTATTTATTCTGCTTGTTTATTGTTCTGGCTGTCTGTTCAGAGCCAATTAAGTCTTTATCCAGTGGAGCGTTAGTCAGTCAGACACAGAGCGACAGAAAGACCGAGCACAGTGGATGGAGGACTGAATCCAGTTAAAGCTTTTCCTCTCATTCCGGCTGTGTTTGTTGATTACTGTCATCTTTCTGTGAAAAACAAAGCAAACAACACACAAGATTTGAATGAAAGACAGCTTGAAAAAGTCTCTCCATAAATATAAAAGTGAGTGGATATTAGCATATTCAGTATTAAGATATTAATTAATAACCATTGATATTCTTGCATGTCCAATTAAAGGGGCACAAGCTCAGTTTACTTGTCACAACAAAGTACCACACCACCTGTGAAAACAGTTAAAATCAGGATATCGGCCTCTGCCGCTTCTATTTTGATCATTCTTTTTTTAAGCTCTCTCTTCTGACTCCCACAACCTAATGAAAGTGCATGCTAAATTGCTGGGGTGCCTCTTTAATTTCAATCCAACAGTGCCTACAATGCACTTTACAGACAATTGAGAGGAAAAGTAGCCTATAGCTGTCTAAAAAGAAGCAAACCATTTCCTCAGTCTATTGATTAGAATATTAGAATCACTTATGTTAAATGATGCACTCAGGTCAAACAGCACCAACCCATTGACCTCCATCCATCAGTCGGTTACCATTAATGCTGAGAAGAGAAGCCCTGTGTTGGGATTAGGGTAGACCCAGATGGACATTCAAAATAGTTGCTTTTAAACCTTGTTTTTCACCAGTTTCTCAAAGGGTATTCAATTTCTGTAATTGGTAAATAAGGCCATCACTCCAAAACACTGTCAGTACAAATGTACTATACAAAACCCTTTGTGTTTTTCCCCAAGGATATGCTGAGCTAGGAACTGTAGCTCTAGTTGGCTAATTTAATAAAGGTTACATTTTAGAGCAGTCTCCATAACTTAAAAGGTACCAATATATTTACCAACCTGTGAAACTGTTGACATCCAAGACAACAAAAAGTAAAAACCTCCAACGTTCTGGGATATTATGGGTTATGAGATAAATACTGTAACCCCAGTTGGCCAATCTCTTTGTTCAATTTCGTTGAGGTTATATATCTCAGAACATATAACATACCAACAGTTTTCATAACCTAAAGGATGGAAAACCCTTTAAAAGGCAAAACCCAAGATAAAAACCTACCTTACTGTACTGTACTCTATGTAGACATAGGCGGATATGTTTTTCTCCCCCTGGGCTGAGCTACACAAGCTGAAGCCCTAGTTATGGATTATATATTAGAACATATACCAACAGTCTTACCAACCTAAAAGGTGAAAAACAGCAGCCAAGGCAACAAAGGGTAAAAACTTGAAATTTACTTTACGTAGGACACTTTCTCCTCAGGATTGGCCTAACACCAAGCTAAATACTGAAACCCTTGTTGGTTTTGGTCAATTTTGTGGAAGTTGTATCTAAAAACGTTAAATCTAAAGGGTGAAAAACTGTTCGTAGCCAAGACAACGAAAGACAAAAACCTCCAACAACTCAGAAAAGCATTTTGAAGTTGTAGAGATGTTAATGCGACAGCCTGCATCAAGCAGCCTTTAACCCCCATGCAAATTTGGTGCCATAAATAAAGTCAAGATGACGTCAATATTCATTCAAAGCTGTTCCCTCCATCAACATGAGAAATCAGAAGCTGAATCTTTCAACATGCCATGGTGTGAAATTGTGAAGATTTGGTTTGATGTTGATGTTCCTGCTTTTGAATGTACCAAAACTCATTCATCTACAGTAGCTAGTCTGCTAACTCCAGCTTTGTGGAAGATAACATGAAGCTAAGCTTTAAATGTTAGCTTACAGGAAGTCAACAACATCACAAGAAAAAGGCATTTTAAAACTAATTTTGACCACAGATGACCACAGAAGCAGACATCCACCACACATACCGAGAGATCTGGAAGACGCAACTGACTTTCACCACAATTGAACCAGTTCAGAGGGGAAAGAAGTTAAAAGATAAATTAATAATGATTTACTGATTTGACAACTCCATTTAGACTTCTTTTTCTCACGTAAAGAAAAGATCATATTAACATGCAAAAACATCTTTCGAAAGCTTCCCACACTGTAGTCCTGAAGTATTCATTATAATATCCATCTCAAATGTAATATTAAGGAGTCAGAACTGTCTAATTTGCATGTATTAGTGATGCCATCCTCACAAATTAGTTAAGCTCCATCAAAGGAGCCTATTGATAGTTGAGAAACCATTCCTAGTCTCACGTTCAGTGTGACTTCATTCTTAAACATCCCCTCTCCCTCTCTCCTTCTCTCTTTCATCACGGCTGCTGCCACCTGCTCTATTTTCTCCCGATCAATAGAAAAGCCAGAACCTTATCAACATGGTCACAGTCATTAAAAGGCATCAGTCAATCCAGTCCGTCGATCTCAGTCCCGTCCTGGTGATGTCTTGTCATTCTGCCTCAAATCAGCATCCTCAATTGTTTTTCTTACCGGCATCTCTGCCCCGTCGTTTTCTCTCCCTCTCTCCCTTTATCTCTGCCGCTTTTCTCTTTTTCTGTTGCTTGTCTCCCTCTCTCTCCCCCTTTCTCTCTCCCCTCTCCCTCTCTCTCTGCTGTGAATCATGCCTTCTGTCAGAGGAAGGTTTTTTTGACAAGCGCTCTCTCTGCCAACCAACACACCAACGCAAACCCTCCTCCTCCTCCTCTCCCTTTCACTCTCTCTCCCCTCTAGCTTTTCTTCTTCTCAATTCAACCTCCCTCTACCTCTCGCTCTATCCTTCCCTTCCTCTCTCTCTCTCTATCTCCCTCCCATTTACACTCCACACAGCTTCAGGGGCTTTAAGAGCTTTGGAGCTGCAAAGAGACCAACTTCTCCTCTCCAGCTGCTTCTCTTTTCTCTCTTCCTCCATCTAATCTCTATCTCTCTTTCTCATCTCTCACTTGTCATCTCTTGGTACTGCTATCGTTCTAGCTTTCTCTCTCCCCCTTCTCTCATTCCCTTCTAGATTTAGTTTGACCTGAGTGGGTTACCCTTGGGAAATCATCACCGTTAGACATTTTAGAAATGAGGTAACAAAGGAGAAGAGGAATGAAGGAAGGACATATCTATCTATCTATCTATCTATCTATCTATCTATCTATCTATCTATCTATCTATCTATCTATCTATCCCACATATCTATGTTTCAGTCTCCCACACACTCTTTTTCTTCTCTGGCTCTCTCTCCATCCCTCTTGTAGCCCTCTCAGTTTGCCCTCTACCTCCCACTCTTCACCTCAGCGTTAATGCAACACGCATCACTGTGGAGGCGGCAGGGAGAGTGAGAGAGGCAGAGAAAGAAGGAGCAACAATGGATACTCGCATACTGTACAGTGCAATTTCAAAGCATCGTCGTCACTAACATTCTTTCACCATTAACAGCCGCGTTGTCATTAAGACATGGAAACGTAATGACCACTGTATTTGCTCCTTTCTATCTGAATGGCATGAGAGCTAGCTTTTACAGTTGCAGCACCAAACACTTCTAGAATTAAATGCTCTGGTGCACAGACAGTGATGTCTTTTTTCTTTTCCATTTCGTGTGAAATAAACGGAAAAGGAAGAACACAGTAGTTAGCTTGAGCAGCAGCAGCAACCACCGTGTTTGGGCAAGAAAAACCACCTACAGAAACTCAAAACTTCATCCAAATAAAAAAAATCCAAGGAAGAAGATGTCACAGGGCTGCCCACATTGTGTGATTGACACACTGAGAGATTGATCTCTTGGGAATCCACTGAAACACAGCAGTAAACGCCGCATAAGAGGATGCATACCTCTGCCAAAGCTGAACAATCCCTTAAATTGATTTATTTTACATATGAGAATACTTCTCCTTTCTAATGTGTTTCTGAATCTGGAACTGTGTCAACATTAGAGCTCAACTGATACAGTGAGGCAGATACCAATATGGAAAATCAGAGTATGATACTGAAACTGAATATTTCAATGACAAGTGGGAAGCCCCATCTGCTGAGTATGATCATGTGTTATGAGGTCCAGTACAGCTACTAAGTCCCGTTTCTTCACTGCAGTTTCTCATTCCTTATCCGCTGACATATAATCTGACACCAATATCTGTGATAAACCAACATCGGCCATTATAATATATATTTCCGCTGGCTGATGGTGGCCATGTCTTTTGGTCATATCAAAAGCTTTTGAGGAACTTGTAAGAAAATGAATTGTGCAGAATTTCAAGTTAGTCAGCATCACACCCACTGTATTACAACCCTTTACTTTTATCACATTGCTGTATGCCTCAAAATTTGAATTATTTATTTGTTTACATGTGCATGTGTCATCATAAATTTGGGCACAATTACACATCATTACAATGATCAAGAGTTACAGCAGTTTATTCACAGCTCCAGCTTTTCCCTGAGTTTTTCCTGCTCCTCCCTGCTCTCTCCTCCTCCTATTCATCCTCATCTCCACGCCTGTCCACAATCAACTCATCATCCTCAGTTCAAGAACGCCCGCTCTTCCGTCAACTCAGTGGTAGTGTGACCCCCAAATTACTTGTCTGGCGTGTTTTTTGTGACTTTTTCTTGTGGCTTGCTTAACTTGGATTTTCTGCTGTGCCTCAGGATTCCAGTGCCAGCGTCTCCGCCCAGCCATCTACCCACATGCCACTTCAGCTAAGTCATCAGCCATTCTACCCGCTCATCAGCCGGCCTACCTCAAGCCCCCTTCACTCATACAGATATTCTAAATTAAATCATCTGACTGAACTGTTCCCTCTGAGTTTGTTTGCTTCTTGGTCTGCTTTAAAGGTAACAAGGCCATGCCAACAACTGGAAACAATGTGGACAATCAAAAAACTAATGTTGCCCCTCAAGGTTCATCCAAACATAAAATGCACCAAATTATGTTTAGACTGGAATAACATTCCACACCAGGACTGAAGGCAACATCTGATGCAGACAGAGGACAGTTTGCCAACAGGAAATAAAGTACAGAGGTGGGTTGTTTTTGCAGAGTTTGGCTCCTGCCCCCCCGGGGTCACCAAACGTTAGCTGCAAGAGCTAACCAGCTAACAGCATCTATCATTACTGTTGGTGATATATAGCTTCTTTAATCATCAAGCCTGGAAACTCTGTAGATTACCTCTGTACCGCTGTCTTCAAACTGTCCTCTGTCTGTCTCCGAGGTTGTGTTTAATGGGAGGCTGCTGAGCCCCGTCCGGTTGCTAACGCTAACGGCAACTACATTAGCAGTTAGCGGAGTTGAGACAGAGCAGCTAGACGACGTCCTAGAAGACCAGACAATATTCTCTCCATAACATACGATCCAGTTTCACCCAAATTCAATTCAATTCAATTTTATTTGTATAGCGCCAACTCATAACAGAAGTTATCTCAGGACACTTTTCAAATAGACCCAACAGTACCACCATGAGCAAAACCTTGGAGACAGTGGCAAGGAAAAACTGCCTGTTAAAAGGCAGAAACCTAGGACAGACCCTTCGGCTCTAGGTGGGTGGTCGTCTGTCTCGACTGATAAAGTTGTGTTTTTGTACAGGTGATAATGCTGTACAATAATGAGTGAGGCCCGGCCCTCCAGAAACACCCTGGGAGCTAGCCATGCTTTTAGCTAGCTAGCTAACTAATGAATCGTGTCACTAAAAGTTGAAAAATGATTGACGAGTGAATTTCATTATATTATTGGTTGAAATCGGTTAGTTCATGCTTATGTAAGCACGCATCACATTTTGTTTTACAGGTATAAAAAAGATTGAATTCTGATACAAAAATACAAAGAAATTGAATGTTTGTAAATGATTTGGCATACGTTGTTAAATAGGGTTACAATGTGACTGAGGATGCAATCTTAGGGATTCAAATTATTTTTTTCATTTCACCTGGATTTGTATAAGATAGCAGTACAGTCAATGTGCATTAAAATGAGTTCCATGAAATCGACATAAACACAACACCATAAAAATTGTATGGGATCTCTGAAACTCCTGGATTTCAATTGCAGGGTGTACCGTTCACCACCGTCTTGTAAAAATTGGGCCAGTCGTTTCCATGATGTTTTCAGTGATTGACAGAGACAAAGACTGACTCACGCTCCCCTTTATTATGCTTGTTCGCTGTGTGAGCTCAAGTGGTGTTGACTCTGTGCGTGCGTGTTGGAGAGAAAGAGGCAGGAGACAGAGAGAGGCAAGCAGAGACAGGGAGAACGATCTCAGTCAACACTGTAAAAAAATAGATTGTGTGAATTTGCTTTAAAGTCTGTGGCTTTTTTTCAGCCTGCAGTCTGGTGTGTCCACATTGGACAGCTGAGCATTGTGTGTTTGATAAGACCAACAGCTGTTGAACATGAAAATCAATAGTAATTAAGTTTCGTTTGATGTTTATGAGTCTTACTGTTTCCTTAGGTCTTATTTCCAAATGAGAGTAAAAGATTGACCTTAATCTGAGGCCACAAGCTTTGGGTTGTGATCCAAAGATATACTGTTCTATTACTAGTTTCTTTAGTAGTGTAAAAGCCCTTTGAGTGGTCAGAAGACTAGAAAGGCGCTATATAAGTACAATCTATTTACCATTTCTAAAAATGTTCATACAAAACATATGATGATCTTATAGAATAGAAGTAGCCTACTGTTATTGACTGGATTTCTCAACCGTACAAAATAGGCTAGTTAGAATTAATTATACCTCAACCACCCACTGTGAGTAGCCTACTTTACCTTAGATACTTTAAAGCTGGTAACTTTTATAAAAAATAACTTTTGTCAGATTTTCTTAGAGCTTTCAATACATCCTGACAATAGTACATGAGACAGATAATCTGTGAGCAAATGGGTGATCAATCAACTATCTTTCTCGGCTCTGATTGGTTGTTTTGATTCATGGCTGGTGGATTTTTCCAGATGCCATAAGGAACACTAGGAGGGGCCAGAGGAACCTGATTTTTTCACAGATTATCTGTTTTATGTACTACTGTCAGGCTATAGTGAAAGTTTCACAAAATATGACAAAAAGTTGTACTGCAGCTTTAAGTACATTTTGCTGACATTTAAATGCACAACTTTTACTTGTGATGGAGTTCAATTGCACTACTTGGTTATAGGTTGTGGTTACTTTGTACTCCCAACCATCCACCTCTACGTCCATTCTCCCTGACAACATCACGCTACATTCACTTTTGCTTCTCGTGCACAGAAGTCATTATTCATATGGCAAAAAGATGTCATTTGGCATAGCTCGTTTTACATATCTGAGTAAATGACATTTTGAGTCATGAGTCATTTTTCAAAAAGGTCCTCCCAAGAAGAGGGACAGCATGAAAAGCCCTCTAGTGACTGTAATAATTATGACTATTGTCCATCAGGTAAAATGGCAGGTGGTGTTTGTAGAGCCACAAAGTCCACAGAGCGAGATCTAACTGGATGGGTGGGTCAACAAAACTTTGGTCTTTAACATGGGTTCAGTGTTGTTATATTTTAATCATGACCACAATCACCGCCTAACCTTTAAACACACGGTTATTACTGTAACTATGATGAAGCTCACCTAACAAATGAGTAACCTTAACCATAGTGTTGTCACATCATAAAACAGATTTATAGTTCAAAAGTAATGTGGGCTATTTTGGATGGATTGACAATAGATTTTGTACAGACAATGCTAGTCCCGGTTCCCTGACATTTCCTGTGGCACCACCAGTAGGTTGGAATTGCAATTTGTCCACTGCTTTGGAATATGACCAAATACAAATCTAGCATAGCCTCAGCTGTACTTTGTGTTTACTCCTAATTAGCACATGTTTGCATGCTAACATGCTAAACTGAGATGGTTACTATGATAAACATTATACCTGTGAAACATCAACATGTTAGCATTGACATTGTGCGCATGTTAGGATGCACAAAGTACAGCCTCACAGAGCAGCTACAACCTTAGGACAACTTTATTCACATATACAGTCTCTCTTAAATTGATGCTCTAAATCTATTTTTCCATTTTCTATATTAGTTATAATCTGAACACCACCCTATCTTCAGTGTAATAAAAGAATGAATGCACATTTCATTAGTGCATGTGCAAAGGGGAAGGTTTTCAATAGTCTATGTAATAAGGTTTCAGTTATTTCTAAACATAAAACATTTCAGTATGTCAGTTAAATTATGTATGTATGTATGAATGTATGTATGTATGTATGTATGTATGTGAATGCTACAGTATACAGCCTCAGCTTTATTATCTCCATCAGTCGTGTCTATGCACATCAGGAAAAAGCCTCATGCTGTATGAACAGACAGCTGCTCCACTCATTCACTGCTCCTCATTTACTGTCATCAGTAAGGAATTTTGAAGGACAGTCAAATCCCACAGCCAGCTCCTGGTAAACAAATGAATCACCTAAACCAAATGCTGTGTCTATTTCAGCTGAAAACTGAAAAGAGCGGCTGTGTTCAGAAAGCAGATAAAAGATAAAGTACTCGTTAGAAATGTATTCAGAAGCACCACAGTAGGCTTCTGGCACAGCATATGGTGGCCTGCAACTGACACAAATACCACAAATCATTTTCACAGCAAGCGCAGTGGCCAAGTAGAGCAGAGACCCAACAGAAATGCCTAGTGAAATATAGAACATTAACTATTCAGTATATGGGAACCATAATACAAATTTTAAGGACTTTTTAGTGTTTTTACCTGATATACTATATAGTTGGTATGATATCAACAAACCTGCTGAATTGGCTGATGAAATGTTGCTGCATGTAGTTGATTTTTAAAGCTGCACTTTTTAAAAATGAACATTTAGCATTTAGCAGCTAAACAGCCAGATATATTCCTCAGGTGTAAACCATGCACCCCGTTCTTCATACATGGATAATCAAGTTATCCAGATTAGAATGCTGACGATTTGACATGAGCCTGAATCTGTTGGTTCTCCAAAGCTGGTTTTAAATTAATGTGGAACTGTTGTCAGAGCAACAAGTCCTTAAATCCTGCAAAAGTGCAGGATTATTGACAATCAGCTGGATCATGGGGGCGGGCTGCCGCCGGGGATGCACTACTTCTTTCTCCAGCTGCAAAACTTTAATACACATTTTTTTGCTTAACAAATTCACACATTCAAGTATGTGCATGTTTTTCACATGCACAGAAGGTGTTATACAACTGCAGGGTGTGAAAGTATTAGTAGTATCTTCTTGACCCTATTTGCTTCCATAATGTACCAGCATTACATAATCGGCTTAACAAATCAATCCTCAAACTGCTTTCAAAGAACCAAATTAACTGAATGAGAAAAAACAGGATTATTTTAGCCTGATAACAGCATGTTAGCCTGAATTAGTTAAGCCATATTTGAAGAACAGGGCCAAAACAGAGTTAAAAGAAGAGTTAATATTAGACTTACATTCATCACTCCAAATAATGAATGTAAGTAACGACTCCAAATAAATGTTAATGTTTCTCTGTTGGCTGGATGCGTAATTAACACGTTCAACATTAGAACTTTATAACACAATATAATGTGATAATATGTATTGTCACAACACAATGATGTTTTTACATTTTGTGGTTTTAAAGCTGCACTGCTAAATATTTTCATATCACTTTCACCAAAACAACTTAATAAGGAGATACTATTGCTCAGTGTTTGTGTTCTCAGCTAGTTTCACTTCCCCCTAGTGGCCAACAACCAATGGCTTCAGCTTTAGTTTGAGGTCAGGCTTTCATTGAGTCAGATTTGTTTTGGCTGCACCATTATGATCAACAGTGGTACTATGAGGCAGTCGTGACCACAGTGATATTTTAATGATCCAGCTTCCCTCCTGATGACACAGTTACCCATGTTTCACGGTGTGTAATGGGCTTTGTTGTTCTATAATAGTCAAACACCATGGTAACCACTACTGTAACTATGGTGTTTAATGCTCAGTACCGTAGCTCCCTCCGGTGGTTGCTCGCTGCCGGTAATAATTTGCATGACAGCAACTTCACACCTAATCTTCACATTTGGCTGAGCAGAGAGACAGGGAGAGAAAAAACACTTATGACCACCTATGTTTGCACAGGAAGCAGCTGCACAGTCAGCATGCTTGGCTGCATGTGTGTGTGTCTCTCTGACCACATATGCATGTCCATACACCTTAGCATCTGTACGTTTTACGTTTTGCTTGTGAGCTATAGTTTCCAAATATAATGCAAAGGTGGTGAACTGGAAATAGTCACTGTGACCTTTAGACCAGTGATTTTCAGTGTGCAGTCCTTGAGTGGGTTGTAGAGGGTCCCTAGTAAAAGGAGGAATAGAATATTTTAACTTTAATCACATTTCTTGAAAGTTGGAACAGCAAGGGAAGACATAGAATTAGCCATTTTGATTGATTGCGATTTATAGTGATCCTAGTTTGATCATTGATTGACAATGAAGATGTTACCTTCAAACCTAAAAATAAACTCAAAGGGGATTCCTTAAGACAGAATCCTCTCAAATAAGGGGTCTATGGTGTAATGTGCATATACTGTGTGTTAGACTATGCTTTTGTTAACTGTGTTGGGATTTGAAGACAATCAAAAGCAGTAAGTTTTAATTGTGAACTTAAAAGGGGGAGGAGTGAGGAGGCAGGGAGAGGGAAAGAGAATGAAGAAGGGAGGGTGGGGGGTCACAAAGAGTGAAGCTTGAGGGGAAACATGAAGTTGTACATTCCACAGTTTGAACGGGGGAGCATCTGGAAATCCTTAAAGGAGAGGGGAGGGGAGAGGAAAGGAGAGGAGGAGGCTAAAAGAGGATCGGCTGAATATTTAAGCCACATATACGGAATGTGAGCAGGGTCGCAATATATAATGTTTTTTAAGAGTTAAAGGTGTTAAAGGTGTGTGTGTGTGTGTGTGTGTAAAAATATGGAAAATATGCAAAAATGAGCAACAATGAGAAGTTCCTGTCAAGTAATTTGAATGATTTGTTAACGTCACTGCTCAAAAAAGAGTAATAACAGTAGAGTGGGCTGTTAAAAAAGAAAGCATGATCGCATGAGACAGATGTTGTAGACAAGAAAAGAGCAGGGGAAGTCTGACCAAAGTGTTCGGCCTCTTCCTGCCTGACGAGCAGCTCAGGAAGTTGAGGCAGACACAGAAGGGGAGGGCTGACACAGAGAAACATATTTTCCCTTTGCCTTTTAGTTTTTCCTTATTCAGTCCTGCTCCGATCAACAGGAGGAAGAAAAAGGGGGGGCAGAGAGGAGGCGGAGTTTTCAATGGAGCTGAGAGAGACCCGGAGTGATCAGTCGGACCCTCAATCTGTGCAAATATGATGGAAGCCAGCGTTATTTCCAAGGACACCGGGTGAGTTTGTGAGGGGTCTGTGATAATGTAGCTGGGTGAAAATACAGTGCAGGAACTGTACTCTTTGGCAGGAGGGGGATGTTGTAACTGCTGTGGAAGGGGGGGGGGTCAGGGGCTGAAAGTCAGGCAGCCAGAGCAGGAAAAACAGATGTGATGACTCACTGACTAATAAATAGGTCAATAGCTTCTCAGAGTTTGTGAAACAGTAGATCCTGATTTTGTGTTTTCTCACCAAATCTTATTTCTAGTACATGAACTGAAGCAGGAGAAGGACTTTGTTACAGAAATGCTGACATTCAGAGTTGATCCCACTAATGTGTGAGAATACGAGTGGTTGAAAGTTGCCCCAGACAACTCTAAAAAGGCAGATGAGACCGTTATAAGGCAGCCACAATGATGTCGACACTGACTCTACAGAGCAGCGTTCTTTAATATTATTTAGGTTGAGACTGTTTAACTTTTATCGCTGCGTTTGTTGAGCCTAATAACATGCTCTCTTTTAAGAATAAGGTTGTCAAATAAAAAGACAAATGATAGGTTACAATGAAATGTTCATTTGGTCCATTTATTCTGTGGATAAGAGCTAGAGCCAGGGTGGAAATGTGATTATCCTATAGGTCATGTTAGGTCAAACAAAGTCAGCAGAAGATGAGGTATTCAGATCCTTTACTCAAGTAAAACGATCAAATCTGCAATAAAGAAATACTCCATTACAAGTATAAGTACTGCACTGAAAATCAGTCAGTGAACGTACTTTGGTATGATTATCAGTAAAATGTAGTAAAGTATCAAGTAAAAGTCGTGCAGTTTATATTTGTTTAACTGGATTGTTATTAATAATCAATTAATGTGTAAGTAGTGTTTTTCTGCTCATTTGAACTTTTTTATACACTGTTGGGTAGATGAATCATAACAATGCACCATATATATACTAGTTTCTAACGCTCAAGTAAAGTACAACTATCTCAAATTTGTACTTAAGTAAATAGTCTGTACAGAGTTATCCCGAGGACTGCAAAGAAAGCTCACATCACACGTTTAAAACAATTGCTCTTTGAGATAAAAGTCAAATACAGCATATTCCAGGACGTCTGTGCCGAGTGTTTTACTGACTACTGCAATTTTCTACTGCCATGCCCCATTTAGCTGACCTAACGGTTATTCTACCCCTTTTCCTGTGAGCAAGCCTAACATGTGTGGCACAAACAGGACTTTTGGGGAGTGTTCTGTAGTCATGTGCTTTCCTCAGTTTCTCAAGATATTCTTTTTGAATTCACAGAAGAGTGACCTAACTCGCAACTAGATTATATGTGGCTTCAAATGTTAAAAGAGATCCAGTGGTTCAAATAACAAATAGTGTAAGAGTTGTTGTCCTTATGCAGACAGATTCAGAAACTGACACCGTTATGTTACCATGAATAATCTACTGACCTCAGTTTTCTAAGGAACTACTTCTTTGGTAAAAAGTGGATCCAAGAAAAATGGTTCTCTGGAACGGAGCAGGGTGTTGGGGTGGAGGGAGAAGTCTAAGATATCTCAGAACTGGAACAATAAAAAACTAAACTTTCTGCAAGGCCAGCTACGACTAAAGACGTATGTTTCTCTCTCTAAAAGACCTATGGTCCTTTTAAAACTACAGTGTTGATACAGGTTCACATAGCCTAAGGCAGTGTTTCCCAACCTTCCTCATTAAGGGACCCCTTATCTAAGTGACATATTTTATGGATATTTCATATTATATTCAATGCATAACAGTAACAGTACAGAGGAACTCATAAATGAACCCAAACAGTGAAGACAAGAATGCAGGAAGTTTGTGTAAAACAAGTGATTTGAATTCATTTTAAGCAGACTATTTATTAAGAGAACTCCTTATATAATTCTCTGTCTGTATTATGTATTGTGTACATTTTTTAACAATCATACATACTTAATAGGCTTCCTATTTGACAAATTCAGTGTTTCCCTCTACGTCTATCAGCTCTTTGTCGTACTGGGTAATCTAAACTTTAAAAATGATTTCATCTAGTTTTCTTCATAGAAATGAATATAATGCTGATATGTAGACCTACTCTGTATATTTCAGAAGTTTTCTTACCCCCCTGAAATCAAGAAGGCCCCTTTTAGGGTTAGGAACCACTGGCACAGGGCACGGATACTCAACTCACTTAGGGTGGGAGGGTTACGTTAAAAATGTAATCAGAAAAAGTACTTTCAAAATGTAATCTGATACAATTACTAAAAACCTGTTAAAAAACCAAAGTCAGTAACATTATCCTAATCCTAATTTACTGCATGTAATAGCTACAACTGCATTTTAGTTGTAAATGCTTTGGTTACATTTGAAAGCGTTTAACGCAATCATGCAATGACTCAAATGTTGGAATGACTCATAAATATAAACTGTGTGTATAAACTGTTCCTACCAGGGACAGAATAAATAGCATATTTAAAGCAACACCATCAGGGATTTGGTACTTTTGGTACGATTTGGTGCCCCCAGTTGCAATACCACTGTGGTAAATACGGACAGCTGTGCACATGCATTTGTTATGATTATATTATTATGATCAAAAATTAGAGAGTTGACAACTTTGTTAACACAGCCAAACATCAAGCAAGTGCAACAACAAAAGAAACAGCGAGCCAGCTAATATTACTGACTAGTCCAAAAGCAAGAAAACCAGCTCGCCGCCACTCTCGCAAACGACTAAAAGCCAGTTCCAGATTTATTCTTGTCTGGTGGATTCCTGCTCAATCGCTCTCTCCTTTTCTTCTCTTAGTCTTCCACTGTTCTTGACGTTCTCCGCTAGCAAAGTTACATAGTACAAGAACAGGCGTACGGGTGCACAGTGGGAATGACAGAGGCACCATTCACCCTGTTACAACTCAGTGTAGCATCAAAATGATTTTGAAGCTGTTATTTTAGGCTAGAAAAGTTACATATTGTTGCTTTAGGCTCCATTAGTATGTGTAGGCCAACATGGAACTTCTCAAGGAACAGCCCAGGGACATTTACTAACTGGTATAAACAAACAGAAAAACTCTCGGTGTGAATCCATTTATTTTCATTGTGAATTAGAAAATGGTCGGTGGGCCACCCGGCAGAAGTTGAGTATCACTGGCCTAAGGTATCTCTCTTTCTTTCAGCATTTACTCTATATTTACTTCACTGTTCTTTCATACATGTGATTCACTGCTGGCTATTAGGGCCCAAAATGGATCATGGGACTGACTGTTTCCTACAATAAAGAAGTACTCAGCTGTACGTATAAACAGAGACAGGGCGGGAGCTCAAAGGGCACAAGCAGCATATTACAGCATTCACAAAGTTTGCCAACAACTATCTTCTGGAACTGTAGTTGTTTGCTCACTAAAGTGTACAAAGGGGGAAATCTCTGATGTGGAAATTGGACTGATGTGGTCACACGGTTTTCCCATTAAAAGCCTGTAGTTTGTACCAACTGTAGACACAGCATCTCCACTGACACTATTAAACTCAGTTCTTATCAACATGCTGTAGTATTTAATTGCATACAGACTGGTGTCCTGTTCCATCTGAGGGCAAAGTAGAGTTAGCCGGATGCTAGTTGTAGCTAAACTGGCACTGCAGCAAAAAGTGTAACCTGACTTAAGTATTTTAAAAATCAATATGATTTTACTGTCAAGCTACCGTTATTGTAGCATCTCCTGCTGATATTGTTGCTGTTCAAAGTTAAGACATGCAGACAGGAGTACCAGCACGAAAGCTAAGCAACGTAGCAACTGCTGTGGCCGGGGGCAGCAGCAAAATATAGCCACCTAAAAAGAAAGGTGTTTTTGAACGCTTTACCTTGCTGTCAGACAGCCCTTTCCAATGAGAAAATAAAGCATTCCTATCGGCCTATGCCCTCTTCAAAGCCACCGGACCTCATTATAAAAAACCCAGTAATTTTATCTCGCAGAACACAGGAGTAGCTTGTACACTAGTGCCTCGGTCAGTGGTTAGTTTGTGTTACTATGTGACTTTGGTGCTTCAACACGTTAGTTTGATGCCAAACTAACTGTAGTTGCTGTGGATTGAGGCAGCGGTAGCCCAGCAACTGTTGTGTGCTGCGAGGTAAAATCATTTTCCTTGTCAAAGTAGTCTGGTGGGAGGGAGTGCTTCACCTCATACAACCACACTTCAATACATCTGAGTTAATACTTTAACAAGGTCTCAATTCATTATGTGTCACTTGTGAGAATTATGACTAACTCTCTCCTCAGCTCTACCGAGTGTTTTATCCTCTTTTAGTTCACTGTTTTGGTTTTACTCACTGCTTTCATCAGTGTTGTTTCAAACAGCAGAAGGCAGATGTTTCCAGTGAAAAAGCTCTGAACCCACTGAACACTGCAGCACCAAAGTTACAGGCAAACCTAGCCATTAGCTGGTGAACATAGTGGAGCTTTTAGCAGCTAAAGCAGTATCTCAGACAACATAAAACTCACCAAAACCAACTTTTTTTTGTCTTTCTATATTCTTTCCAACAATCACCAAGTCTGGTTTGGTCAAAATAAATCCTTAATTTACCAACGTAGATGATAAAAACAGCTGTTTCAGTCACTCTACTCAGCTGCACACAGAGCAGACCGGCTATGGAAACAAACCACAGAGAGACTGCGACAGCAACACAGGCAGAGGGAGTGTGAAGTCATTCTCACTCAGGACACCATGACTCCACTATATCTTTACGTAGCTACTAGCTGTAAGTAAGTAAGTAAGTAGGAACCAATAGGCTAGGGGCTGAGTACCACAGGGGTAGGGAAGTAGGGAGAGAAAAATAAAGAATAACACCAGCTTTATCCTTTAAGCACTACAACAATAGGATTTCTGTGCAAAACAATCTAGCAGATTCCCTAAAGAAACAGATCTGCTCCTTATTATTCACAGTAATGAAACACATCATGTGTCACTAGCTGCATGCAGTACACAGGGTAAACTTTAACTCCAGTCAGTGTGTCTGCAGTCACAGAATATGAGTCAAGTACTGGTGACCAGATGCTTGTTTCAGGAATCAACTGAAGCACAGACAAGATGTAAACGAATCCTCTGCACGTTATTTCCATCCCTGACATTTACTCTTTTTTTCTTTACAGTCACACAAGCCCTCTGACAGGAGCACTTGACACTACATCCATCCCCTCTATTGCCTCCATCCCTCCATCTTCTCCCATCTCTCCACCTTCCCTGCCCTCCTCCCACCCTCCGGCCCGGCCATGTCGACCAAAACCGCCACCTCCTACGGCGAAGCCCTCCCAGCTCCCCTCTTGTCCTCCTCTACCTCCGTCCACTCCTCCATCCCTCCCTCCTCCTCTCCCTCCTGTCTCCAAAGCTCCCCTCCCTCAGTCTTCCAATCCTCCCTCTGTTCCTCCCCCTCTCTCCTTCAACCCTCCTCCCCCATCCCTTCCTCCTCCTCTCTCCCCTACTCCGGCCTCTCCTTCTCCCCTGCTTGCTCTCCAGCCAACTGTCCCCTCTGATCCTACCCCTTCTTTTAGTCCTCTTCCTCCTCCATTATCTCCAACAATCTCACACTCCTCCTCCTCATCACTTCCTCCACCACCTTCCCCTGTCGTCCCACCAACCTCTTCAACTCCTCCATTGCTGAATCCTATAGATCAGCTGGTTGGGAGCGCCTCGGTATGGCAGCCCAAAGGACTCAGCCAAGACCAGACCACAAGTATAATGGAGAACGAGACGGCTGGGGTGAGATACACAAAATAACTATGAAATTGAATTTAAAAAATACAAGGAAAACGCAGACAGACACATTCTGAAACATCTGTTTGTTGTGTTTATGAGCAGTTGTTGATTTGCAGAACTGGTCCATTTAAAGAAATAGTTCAACATTCTGGGAAATCCATTATTTGCTTTCCATTTCCATTTCCGAGCGTTAAATGAGAAGATCAATACCAATCTCATGTCTGTGGGTTAAGTGTCACAGTGTCTACAGCCTGTATAGTGTGGGCAGCCCTTAAGCAACAGCTGCTTCAGCACTCTGTCTAGGTCTGCATAAGATGCATTCAGGCACGGTATTGAGTGTTGGTCACAGACATTTTGGAAGCACTCAAAGCCCAACACACAAACAGTAAAACTGAGAAAAATAGATTGAAGGGGGGGAAACATGTTTCTGGTTGCAGTAATGTGTGTATTGGAGTAAAGTAAACAGCTAGGTCAGTGAATCTGCTCTGTCAGAAGCACGTGAGACAGACTGAAGAACACGGCTGAAACACCTTCTACAGAACCGTAAAAACAACTTGGTTTTAGGACAAGTTATGTTGTCTAACTACTGATTTTGTGACAGTGAGGTTGCCAGGCAACCAGCAACTGTTGGATTTAGTTTAGTTTTGTGTGTATGTAGCACGTGGGAGAAGTCTGCCTTCAGGGCTTTCTGCCAGAAACCCAGGACTTCACCCAGAGACTGCTGTCCATGTCCTGTGTGGAACAAAAAGTCAATGTTGAACAAACCATGATCCTTATCTAAACCTGAAGTACTTTTGGTGCCTAAACCTAACCAAAGTGCGACTTTTTCACCATGCTTACCACGTGTTAGGTTACTAACAGAGAGGAAAACTTCTCCCATGCACATGCACATACTGTATTTCAAAACCTTATTTTACTGAACATGTTCTTCATGCTAACCTCAAAGTTGTAACCGCTCATGTTGACATTTGCAGGTGTTCCTGGTTCACAGCAAAGAGGACATGGGCATGACACTGTCAGTACGCCTGCCTGACGAACAGGGGGTGCCACTCGTACAGAACCTGATGGTCAAACAACACAAAACATGTACGTGTTTCACATAGTGCAAAATGCAAGATTTGCATGGCTGAGCACAGATAACACGGCAGAGCAGTTAGTGATTCATTCTTCAACTGTTTTGTGTCTCAGTTGTCCACTTAGATGGTTCCTATCTGGTTTTTGATGACATCTTCAAACTGATCTCTTTCTACTGTGTCAGCAGGTAACACAGACACACAGTGCACATAAACATTGTGTATGTATGCAAATACATAAAAATAGAAATAGAAATGCTGTCACACCATGTACATACAAGAGTGTTCATACAAACATACAGACATAAGCTTACCACTATATATAAACTACATGCATATTTACACATATAGTACACATTACACCGTGCAAATGATGCACACACGCACAAACAGAGCCACAAACAATGTAAGACTGTGTTATCATATTATTAATGCTCCCTGCTTTTACTTCATGCTGGCTTTTTCTATTTGAATCCACCAATCAGGGACATCCTGGCCATCCCACTGAGGTTACCTCAGGCCATTACCACGGCAACTAAGAGAGAGGAACTGGAGGTCATCTCTGCTATGGGTACAGGTAGATAAATCTGCATCATTAAGTGCATTGAAGTTGGGTCAATGCTGTAGCAAAGAGCAGGATACCGCAATAAAATATAGACGATAATGTGAATTGCATCAATAACGCTACTTAGCAGAAAGGTTTCAAAGAAAATATATATGAAGGATGTCTGACAACATACAGACACAGAATGAATGTACACTTTGGAAAACACAAGATGGAAAGTATCAGAGGCGAGAGACAAGCAATGTGAAATATTTAACAAAAGAGACAGCATGAATAGCCAGCACAAATATGATGTGTAATGTATGCATATTTCAAGGTCTCCATGAACATTCTAAAGGTGCGTAGGTGCACTGTAAAATAATTAATACAAACATTCTCCTAGACAGTATTACATTTGACTATTTTTCTATTTTCTAGATACATATCCTTAATAGAATAATTTGCTATTTTGGATATATATTTATTCACACTCAATACCTTACAAAGATTGATACCACTCTCATATCTTTCTGTTAAATCTGAAGCTACAGCCAGGAGATGATTAGCTTAACTTACCATAAACACTAAAAGCATGGGGTAACTAGCTAGCGTGGCTCTGTCCTATGATAATAAAATCCACCTACCAGCACCTCTAACCACCCACTAACAAACACCACATATCTATATATAACCAAAGTGTAAGTGTGTGGTTTGTGGGGGGTTATGTGCAGGACTATTTCTCAGCCCACTGAAGTGACTTCCCCGGGTCTCCACAGCCTGGCAACCTCACAATGACAACAATACTGAAGTCACAGCACTGGGCCAGAGGGGTTTCAGAAAGGAGATTGTTCACTGAAGAGTCATTTCAGTCTCTCTTTTTATTATCAGAATTTGATCCATTCAGTTAGCAGCTTTCATAGGAATGAATGTGGCTTCATCTTTGAAAGAGGGATTCAGTTCTGTTTTCTAAAATGCTGAAGTATTCCTTCATGAAGGTGAACCTTGTGCTCAGAGCTTTTTTTTGTCAAAAAGCTATTTCCAAGGTCAGTAATGAGACAGTCAAAGAATGTTTCCATATAATGTGAGAGAGGTGAATACAAGGAAACACCAAATTACACAATAAAATAAGGGAAGTAAATCAGATAAATCTGTACAAAGAAACTTTTTTAACATGGACAGCATGTGTTGCAGATTTCTGGAAGTCCGATCTGAATCAGCAGGCAGAGAAGGACCTGATTGTGGATCAGAACCCCAGCAGACTCTACTTGTATGTAAACCCTGTCACTTTGGAGGAGAGCCCCAACAAAGACCAGAACCACTCCTCTGTCTCCAAACATGATATCATTACCAATCAGAACATCACCTCCTCCCTGCAGAATGGAGAGGCCACACAGAAGGTCAGCCCAGAGGTCAAAGGTCAGACTAAAACCACGCCCAAACCTGAAATTAAATACAAGCGCCCCCCACCCAGACCCCCCAGCCTGGGCTCAGGGTCTGGGATGGGCCTTCTCTTCTCCTCTACCCCCTCACCTCACACCTCATCTTCTGTAACTTCAGCCGCTGAGAGAAAAGAGGAAGGAAGGGGAGGAGTAGGGGAGAGAGAAGAGAGGAAGTCAATGTCAACATCACCTCCTCCGTCGAGGCCTCCTGTACCCCTGCAGAGCCGAGCCGCTCCCCCTCTGCCTCCTGCTCCTCTCCGTCGCACCTCCTCCCGGAAAAGCACTGACCGAGATGTAGGAGAGGGGAGGGAGAGAGAGAAGGGACAAAATCCTGCAAAGAAAACTGAGAGAGAAGGGGGAGGAGAGAGAGGAGAGGAGAAAACAGGAAGTAAATCAGGTCTGCTGGGTGAGGAGGCTGAACAATTGAACAGTAGCCAACATCAAGAGGAGGAAGTAAAAAAGGAGACAGAAAAGAAAGAGAAAGAGGATGGAAAGCAGGAAAAAGACATGAAAATGGATAAAGAGGATGAAAAACAAAAATCCAGCTCCCAGTGTCCACAGTTGGTGACGAAACCGTCCCGTCCAGTCCCTCCACCGAGGAGGAAACCATGTTCCCCGGACGCACCTGTGTGCTCCAACCAGGCCGGAGGAGGATTAGCCAATCAGAGTGCTGGGACAAGAGTGCCCCCTCCCTCCCCGGCGCGGCGGCCGGATGTGTCACTGTACTCGCCACAGGGGGGCGCTGTGCTAGGACCCGACCCCGACTCTTGCTCTACCAGCAGCACAGAAGAAGAAGGAGAGCTGAACCAGGAACAGGAGCAAAACCACAAGTAGGTCTGGATGAGAAAGGGTGTGATTGGCTGGTGTAGCCCTGCCTCCCTTAGTTACTGTTGCTATGCCCATCAAGCTGTCCATGGTCACATGGCACATTTAGTTTACAATAGCCAGGTTTCCATCGCAATGTAGTGCAAAGTAATCCGTCTTCTTGAATACAGATAGAGCAAAGCAGCTTCTCATTTCTAGTCAGTAAGCATGGATTTATACTAGCTGAAGCTAGTAGCTCGTTAACATTAGCTTAATGAGTTGGTTGAAAAATGCTGTCTCCAGCTGATTTTAGTAGTAATAGTTCATACTCACTTTAAAACAAGAATGCTGTAAATGGGTTCTAAATATGCACTTGATAGTTAAAGATACTACCGTGCTAAAGGACTGATGCCAAAGCTGTATGTTCCAGACAAACAGTCAGAATCCTCACCAGTTAATGATACATGTAGAAGTCATAAAGCACTTCAAAATGAAGAAACAGTGTTGTTCTTATATTCAATTCAATTCAATTCAATTTTATTTGTATAGCGCCAATTCATAACAGAAGTTATCTCAGGACACTTTTCAAATAGAGCAGGTCTAGACCGAACTCTTTAAAACATTATTTACAGAGACCCAACAGTACCACCATGAGCAAGACCTTGGAGACAAGGGCAAGGAAAAACTTCCAGTTGGTGTGAGAGAGAGAGACAAACAGACAGACAGGTGCACAGCAACAACAGTATACATGACAGTATATAGCTTGTAGTCCTGAGCAAAAATGTAAGATCAGAGCCATTGAATCTACACCTTGATAGCAACCGAGACATTAAGAGGAAGAAGGGCTCAAGAATAGACACTTTAAGTAGACACTAAATCTCACTAGAGCAGAGGATGCCAGATACAGAAAAGCTTCCTCATTAGGAGTAACATCAACAAGCAATTTGAAGGCTAACCATGTAGGCCAAACTTGCACCATAAACTGGCAAAATACTAAACTAACAGAGAGCAGTTTTTTTTAACTAAAATCTGTGTAGTAAATGCAGCAGCATTTTTGAATTGTTGTTTTCGATTCAGCCTTGTTTCAGTTAGCTTCCAAAGTGGGTTTGCTGATTTCAGTTCAGTTTTTATTGTTTAAAAAGGTTTAGTTTCAGTTTGTATTAGTTTCAGTGCTAGTTTTATTTTTTATTTATTTATTATAACATCCCAGTCTCAATAAACATATGCACCAATGCCTCTTCATGTTTGTGTTGACAAATTTTACCAAATTGACAAAGACTAAAACTAAAGACATTTCCTGTTTATTTTTTTTTTATTTTTTTATATCAACACAATATCGTTTCAGTTTTTCATATTTTGCCAAAATCTAGTTTTTATTTTTATAACCTTAATATGGAAGATACATCTTTCTCTCATATTAAACACAGTAAAGTTTTTACCCAACCCCTAATCTTGTGTACCAGATAAAATCCTAACTGTGGTGTTTGTGGCATGCAAAATATCAAAATGTACAAGGTTGCTTGTTGTTATATAGAGTTCAAATATATAAATATATATTTAATTATACATACAAATGATCTTACCATTGCACAGAAGGTCTGAAGGAACTGAATAAAACACTGCAGTGGAGGGGCTTACTAGTCAATGTAGTCTGTATATGAAACTAAAGAAAAAGACTTACTGTATATTTCTTTCCAGTCGCCCTGCAGAGAGCCGCAGCCCCAAGGCAGCAGTAAGGAGAACCCCCACCACTGTTATGTTGGGCCGAGCCCGCTATCGCCTGTCCACCGTCCTCACCGGCCTCATCAGCCATGACCGCCGCCTCACACAGCGCATCGTAGAGCTGGCCAGGGACCCTCTGAGCTACTTTGGTAACCTGGTAAGTACACACAGGGAGAAAAACCCTCATGACTTTTGGACTGTGAGTCCAACAATCAGCTGACATATTTGGAACTCAGGATAACAACTTCAACAAAAGCCTAAAACACAGTTGGAATCAAGTTTAGCTCTCTTGTTTTGTATTTAGGTGAAAGAGCACCGTGCATTCACCTTGGAGACCATGTCAAACCACTCCTCCTCCACTGAGCTGTTACAGGAGATCAGACAGATGGTGACTCAGCTGAAGAGTTACCTACTGCAGAGCACAGAGCTGCAAGGCATGCTGGAGCCACAGCATCAGTATGCACAAGACAAACTGGGTAACTATGTTATGTTATATTGACTGTTTCATTCAAGTTTTTTCAATTAATTCCTAAAGTGTTATGTGGGAATAACTGTAGAGGGAATTTTGTAAAACCGTTATTTCCTTTGTATATTTTATTTAATGGAGCGAAGCCTGCAAGCTAGTTCAGGCAGTCAACTCGAGTTGCGCTGCTATACACACATGACATGCCTCACTCCATAATCACTAACCAAGCGCACCCTTTCAATCTGGCGGTCTATTTAAACTGCACAATTTCACAGCTCTCCCTCTGCTCTGTCAATGCCTCTGTTGCCCTGCATCCGTATTAATGCTGCTGCACTGTAAGCCCCACCACCACCCCAGCATCCACCTGTAGGCTCCGACTGGGGGTTAAGGTATCACTCCCCAATATATCTATGTAAACATATCTGCGGGGAGTGATGAGGTCGGAGCCTAGACGCCAAAATCTAAATATGCTATACTGCTTTAATAAACATTTCAAGCGTGAGTTGTCTGACTGAATTTATATTGTGCTACTCAGTCTGTGAAAACAGTAAAATGTCTTCATTGGGTGTGGAGGAGCTTTGTCAAATCTGAGAAACTAACCACGATAATGTCATAAGGAGCAATCTCCCTCTGGGTTTGGAGTTTGAAATATGTGCCCATTTATCAGGCAGGGGTGATTGAATGATAAGATACTGAGTTGCATTATGGGAAATGTAGGCTCCAGCATTTTTGGAGCTTGGCCCATACTATGGACTGAAACTCAGGATATCTTGGCCTCTGCTGCTTCGATTTTCACCATTGTTCTTTTTGTTCTGTCCCTTCTGAGCCCTTCAACTTTATGGGGGAGCAATAGTATAATTGTAGAAGTGTCTCTTTACAGATTCTTTCACAGTAAAAGAAATTAAAGGTGCTGTGAGTGGAACTTCCCATCCGTTCTTGCAGTTAGCAGTCCCATATTGAACTGTTAGTGACTGAACACTCTGTATCGGTGATGGCTGTCAGATTGTAGAGCTATTTAACACTTATTTTAACAGAAAAATATCACTTATAGCACCTTTACATGTGTATGGTTTTCAGTGAAGCTTTCTCAGAACATTTTCCACCCAGTGCAGTATTTAATATAAAAAAGTAATCATTTAAAGAGCTTAATACGGTCTGATTCTTGTTGACAGACTGGTTCTTGTTGACAGACAGGGGTTATTTCAACTATATGTATATGGTCATTTTCAAAGGTGTAGGTAGCGGATTTGTTGTCCATTGTTGTTCATTTGGCAAGATGGAAAATTTGAAATGTATTAATGCTTTATGCATGTATGTGTCCATGCAGAGAGCATAGTAGAAACTGCTCTGTGTAAGAGTGTACTGAAGCCACTGAGGGAGCCAATTTACCAGAGTTTGGAGAAACTGCGCATAGACGACGGCAGCCTGAAACAACTGGCACAGAACCAGGTAAGCCTAAACATGAGCACTTTTGCAATGGTAATAGTCATAGTGAGGAATAAGAAGAGGACGTAGTTGTCACAAACCTACCAGTTTTTACCAACATTGCACCAAAGCTGCAAGACAGCGCTGCACACTACATTTATATTCATACTAGCAGTGACAGCAGTGTGCAGTGCAGTGATGCTGATGCTGTGTTGCTGTGCGTGTCAGGCTGCTGTCCTAGGCAGCACCACCACAGCATTAGGAATAACCACTGCCGTCCCTGAGGCCCCAGCTATGGAGAGGATCAGCATCAAACTCAACAACCTCCATCTGGAGTATTCTCCCCAGAGAAAGATTGAGCTGCTGCTGAAAGCCTGCAAGATCATCTACGACTCCATGTCTGTCAGCAGTCCAGGTCAGTCCCTTAAACAATCATTTAACCTCTGACCCCTAATATTGTTCTAATGTCTCTTTTTTAAACAACAACTAAACACAGCGTGCCTGACCAGGAGACATGTTTGTCGTCTCTGGCTGAGAGGCTAACATCCTGCAGTCCCACACACATGAGTAACACATACATAATACAGCCTTTTAAGTTTTATTGGAGCTAATGGTTCACATTGTGATAAAACTATACCGGAAAAATGTGTCCATTGTTTAACACTGGCTCCTTCATAATGATTGTCTATAAGAAATAGGCCTTTTGGGACAGTGGGCAACACATAAACTGCATTTCCAACTGCTCCCACTATGCCAGGGTTACTTCACAGGCCAGCACTGTTCCTGGGGGCTTGTGGTGGAACCAATCCACTAATTCTCAGTCAGGCTGCCTAATGATCTGACTCAAGAGAATCTTGGGAAATGAAGGAATACTCAATGCGCCATTATCCTGTAATTGCCATCTATGGCCACTTGGTGCTGTTTGAAAGGCTTTACTACTCTAACAACAATTAAATTCTGAGAGTGGCAATTTATTCAGGGTTATAACAGTTATCTCAGGACACTTTTCAAATAGAGCAGGTTGAGACCGAACTCCTTATAACATTTACAGAGACCCAACAGTACCACCATGAGCAAGCACTTGGCAACAAGGGCACGGAAAAACTGCCTGTTAAAAGGCAGAAACCTAGGACAGATCCTTCGGCTCTAGGTGGGTGGTCGTCTGTCTCGACCAGTTGGGGTGAGAGAGAGAGAGAGAGAGAGACACAGACAGAGATAGAGAGAGAGACAGACAGTGCACAGCAACAACAGTACTTAAGAATAATGTAGCATACTTCGTCCTATAGCACACATGGTAGAGCTGGAGCCCCATGTACAAAGGCTGAGTCCTTGCTGCAGTAGCCATGGGTTCGAATCCGAATCCTAATAAATAAAGGCAAAAAGCCCCACAAAATATATATATTCATTTTAAAAAACTATGCATTGGCACAAAACAACAGCTATCTGCTGTCTGTAGACTCTGTCTAAGAATATGTTGATACCAATCTGCACATAAAGTACAAACTCAAATTTAAACAGATTACATACCAAGAATAAGTGTGCTTTATAAACATATCCACCTCAAATCAAGATGTGTTTGCTCTCTAGAGTCAAAATATTTGTGTGTGTTTGTGTGTGTGTTTAGGGCGGGCCCATGGTGCTGATGACTTCCTGCCTGTAATGATGTACGTCCTGGCTAGATCCAATCTGTCCAACCTGCAGCTGGATGTGGAATACATGATGGAGCTGATGGACCCATCATTAGCACTAGGAGAAGGTACACACACACACACACACACACACACACACACACAGAAACACACATTTCTTACTGATGAATCTATGTGTTTGTTACATTATTGATCATGCCATTGTGTGTGTGCGTGTGTGTAGGTTCCTATTATCTGACTACCACCTACGGGGCTCTGGAGCACATTAAGACTTTCGACCAGCAGAGGTCAGCCACACGGCAGCTCAGCAGAGAGGTTCAGGACTCCATCCACCGCTGGGAGAGACGACGCACGCTCAACCAGGAACGCATGTCCCAAGGATCTGTTCGGGTACACACACACACATACAACATTGTCAATAATGTCACATTGTGTGATCTGGAAAGGTCAGAGTGACTCACAAGATGAAAGGGACATTGAGGATTTGTATGGATGCTGCCAGTCAGTCGATGGCTGAAAGCACAATATGATTAAAATGCAATATTCATGAACAAATAGTTAGAACAGAACAAATAGGAAACCACACTGATAGATGTACAATGCATAGTGCTTATATTTGGAAAAAAGAGAGCACAGAAGTATCTAAACTGCTCACAGACCTGCATAGAGGAACAAGCTGAGCTGTGTCCATACAGTTATCTTAGTGTAACTTTTCTGTGTATGTGTGTTGCATAGGACTTTCTGACAGTGTGCTGCCCTGAGATTGGAACCAACCCAAAAACTCTGGGCGTACTCCCGACAACGACAATCCAACAGCTGGCTGAACAGTGTGCTGCACGCTTTGAACAAGGTAAATGTCTGAAAGATGCTGTTACATATTGCTGTCAGCCCTGGGTTGTTACACAATTCAGTTCCTGACCTTATACTAAACAACATGATTTTAAAAGTACTGCTTTCAAATTCAAACTATTTAAAGTGGTACTCCAGAAATTAAATAATGCACTTCCATAAAGTTCAGGGACAGATTTTTGATCAAACAGAGGATGAGATATCCTGACCTTCAATCCACAACACTGGTCGATCCTACACTTGGACTCATTAAGCAACCTCACACAGTACATTTCTTTTCTCAAACATTTATTGGATCAGACATCGAGCTCTAGATGATCAAACTTAATTTCAGCATCTCTGTGTGATCAACCCCTTACATTATCACTACGTTATTATTATTCTCAGGGTAATGCTTCCTTGTTTATTTCTCCCAGACTCCTACATGCTCAGTGTGTATATGGATGGTGCTCATCGGCCCCTGGCCCCTACAGAGTTGGCTGTCAGTGTTAAGAACAGCTGTCAACCTGGAGCCTACTGCTTCATCTATCACCCCATCGACCAACTCAACAACCAGCCCAGCCGCAGCTGCCCCACTGACCCACCCCCAGCTCCACCGGCAGAAAGCTTTTTCCCAGCTGACATAGCGGTTGTCGATACTGTGGAGCCAGAGCCGGAAGAGGAGAGTCTGATTAGCTTGTAACTGCTCCAGCATCACAGTGGCAGTTACTGTATCACAATGGTAACAGCATCACTGTGGTGACTGCATCAAAAAAAGAACAGGGGAACGGAATTTGAAGTGAAGTGTTTAAATCTCAGGTCTCTCTTGAAATATTGATCGAATTTAAACTTAACTGATGTGGATTTGTGCATGCAGGATATCACAAAATATTGTATGTGATGAAACCTGTGTATGACTTCCTTGTTTTAAATTACTTTTATATGAGTTTAAGTCACTGAGTGGTCCGATGCCACCAAAGGGAGCAGTGACCAACTAAAATGACACAACAAAGAGATAAAAGACTGATTTTGTATTGCACCATGGGGTCTGGAACCCCAGGGACTGCTGGGCGATATGGTTTTATAGAATGTAAAACTACATGTAATTCTAACATGCACATATATGATCATGTTTATACTGTTTATACCCTATGATACTTAATTTTACTCTCTCTCTGGTGCTCAAGACTTCTCCCTCAGACAGATGTAGAAAGTTCCTTTTGTGGCATTTTCTATTCAAAGCACAGGTATAGTAGCAGCTATATGGAGATCTTTCATTTACATTCAAAATCTCTAGTAAGCATCAAAAGGGTTCATTCCACATTTGTCTTCTATATACTGATTGTACTGTAAATAAACTGGCTTTTACAATTGTCAATGCTGTGTCTTGTTTAACTAAAGGAGTTGCAGAGCTTAACAATGTTTACAAAGTATATAGATATGTTCCAATATCAAAAAATACTGATTCACAAATGCTTTATAGATCAGAAGCAACGTCAGCAGTTCGGAGAGATTTTAAGATAAATGACGATGACAAAAATAGAGCAGACTGCAAACTATGCTCTGCTGTCAAGAGGGGTCAAAAGTAGCTCCTTTAACACAAGGTGTATCTGATGAAAATAAAAATTCAAGTCATTGTTATGGTGCGTTCCCACCAAAGGCCAATAAAATTATTTGCACATGCAGATTACATACAAAGTCAATGCAAAAACGCGTATAAACATAAATTTGCTCTGGCCGCCGCAAATGACGTGCAATTTGGCCACACGAACGACATAAACGTGAAATTTGTCCAATTCAATTTGAAAATATTGAACTTTGTATTAAAAATGTGCGCATATCACTGGGTCTTTGCAGTGTTGACAGACCCCATAAAGTATGACTTTTCCATTTTGCCATCCTTTTCATCTGTTAATTAACATTAAATCACAGCTAAAACTGTTTATTATAGGCTCATACCGCTGTAAACCAGATTAAAGGGTGAATAATAATCTCTTTGCGTTTGGTGGAAACACGCCAATAGAACAGTAATGGTATTATTAAGTACTCATATCGTCTGTATCAGCAAGTACCCAAAAGTAAATACTTGTACCAATACACAGTACTACTCTGTGGTATTGGTGCATCCCTATCTGAAACTATGCAACATTCCAGCGGAAATGGGGACAATTTCTTTGAGAGAATTGTGAGAAAGCATGTAAGATCTGATCTTAAAAGCAACAGCATGAATGCCTTCAAGGAGAGACTCTTTAAAGTGTGTGTACGCTTCATTGCGTTGATGCACAATTCCCGAAGGGACTATAACGGCAAGCTTTTTACTCCGGGCTTCAGGTGTTGCCATTCAGAATGGGTAGAAACCGTTAGTCAGACGACAACTCATACAAACTAGTTTGTTCCAAGTAAACAGCACCCCTAACCCTGTTTGCCTTCTGCTCTGCGCCGCAAAGATCACCCTTATGAACCTTTAGCTATATTCTATATCTAGATCACGGACAGTATTAGTGGTCTATGCTGATGTCAGGGGTGTCAACAAACTTTAATATCAAAATTATTTAAAAACCACCAAACACCATGATTCAGTCATGTTTCTCCAGAATTTGACCACTGGCTTATCATTGGTTTGTCGTTTCCAACTGATGAATACATAAACAATTCAGTGACGATGGCGCAGATGGGAGTTGACAGTATTTCCGATGAGGTAGTGTTAGGTCACGCATGCTTTGTGTCTGAAGCTTGTTATTCTCTGTAAGGTCAGTGTGTTGCAGAGCCCTTGTTAAGGCCAGCTGCTTCCTGTCTGCAGGTCATTATTTCCAACAAGGCCCATAACGAGGTCCTTAAACAGTAACAAGTAACAAACTCTGTAGAATCTTCAACATTTTACCTTTTGTCTTGTTTCCATTTCAGTAGCAAAAGAAAATATTTCATGTCCCAGGGGCAAAGTATCAAATATACCGCCAGCAAATGGACACATCCAATTTTTTCTATCACTTCTGTTAAAGCTTTGGAGATGGAGGGTTTCTCGATACTGACACACTAACAAGGTGTCTTTGTACAGTAGTAGCCAGAAAAAGCAATTAGACATAAACTGATTTGTCTAGGAAACGTTTACTATGCAGAGCTGTCATACTTCACAGTATCAAATCTAAAAATGCCTTTAGTCAACAGGTGTTTTACGTAGGTTGTCTTGGATAGAATGGTCCTTTGATGAAGGTAAGCTGAGTTGAGGAAGATGGCATGATGGAGTTATTCATTGTTTTTATTTTCATTGCTATGTCTACTAGATATACTGTACATGCAATGAAAACCTTTGTAGGATGACATCCAAGTATATTTACCCAATTTCTTTGCTGGGGATCAATAAAGGTCTATCTTACCTTTAAATGTGCATTTCTTATTCTTTGTTATACCTCGTCTAGGCATACCCTCTCTGATATCTATTCAAATAGGTCTGGTGTTGTGCTCATTGACTGCTGTTCCCCAGTTTAAAACACAACAGAGTCAATCAAACGTTGAAACCATGAAAAGGGCAACAAGTGTTGGACGAAGAAGCTCTCACAGCCTCTGTGTCGACTGATAATATGGCTATGGGATGGATGATTCATTCACTCCTGATTGGTATGGGCAAAATTACAGTTCCCTCTACATTATAATACATAACTCACAGCTCCACTCACTCAGAACCAAATCTAGTTCCAACTATGGGCGGCAGTGGAGAAGAAGGTTTGACTGGGTAGCCAGATGTCTAATTTGTCACATCATCTCTCTATAAATCTAGCTATGAAAATGACATGACTGTCACACTTCACACTTGGCTCCAGGGATGGCAATGTACGTCTGTCGGCTCACCACTTCAGTCCAGACTGAAATAACACAAGTTATGGAATAGATTAGACATAGACATTTATGGTTCCCAGACAATGTTCCCTACAGACACCAACTCTACAGATCCACTCAATTCCCCTCCATGGAAGTGTCAGTGGCTTTCAGCTCATTACTTGGTTTATGAGAATTTAGCAGTGCTGTTTTCATTCACTCTCGGGACTTTTCTTGACAGTCATCAGAGTACCGCTTACTCAGTCCATTTACCAGTAGGCCTCGTATTGACATAAAGTTCAGTCCAGGATATTTGCTAATTTTAATCAATTTCCATGACCAGAAAAGTAGTCTCTAAATTCGCAGGTTTTCCAGGACGTGTGGGTACCCTGGGTCGGAGAGCGAGCCAAGGCCAGTAGTCCAGTTTTGTACGACATGCAAATTAGCGCAACTTTCACCATCCAAAAAGCTCTTAAGCTTATTTCTTACAGACCTGCTGCATTTGTTTCTAAAGTGATTTTGGAGGTGGCTGTTTATGCTTGCATGACAAATTTTATATATTTAGGAAAGTGAAAAATAATTAATGTTTCCACCCTCGATACACTTAAATTCCACACCCTTTCGCCAAGTTTCATGAAAATTGGGCCAGTAGTTTTTCTGTAAGTTTAAAGATGATAATCATACCAATGCTGTGTTTGCAGCTTGTTTCAGCCGTCCCCAGGTCAGTCCAGGCAGTTATTTCACATTGAATTGATAGATTTTGTTTTGTCTTAATATTCCATAACGGACACATTATGGATGGATTATTTTTCCCAAGTCCATATATATATATATATATATATATATATTTCTGCTGAGGAACTGCTTTAGTCTTGGAGAGAAACATCCATACAATTGTTTGGTTAATCTGCCACACTGTATGAACGAACACACTTGCAAAAATACGCACAGAAGCACTATAATGATTTTCAGTTATAAGATGGTGGGCTCTCCACAACAGCACTATGACTAAGAGTCTTTGAAATGGGACACTAACAAGCTAACAGCACTTCCACTGGGGCTGTCGTCTTGCACGCTAAAGTCAAAGTTGGTTTGATCTGGGGAAGGGTGTGTATGCTTGTGTATATGCGTGGGTGGGTTAGGGGGATGGGGGGTTAAAACACTCCAGTCCAGGGTATATAAGTATGTACGACAAGGAACTGATTTTTTCAACCACCGTAGACTTGCACACAGCCGCTTACAGAAGCAACCAGCAGCCCAAACGCACAAAAGCAAAGAGAGGAAATCCAAAGTTCTGTCTAGTTAGAGAAGACAGAAGTAGAAACAAGTGCTAGGAAACAGCAACAAACAGAAAATACCTGACTGTGCAAAGTCATTTCTGTCACTGTGGTTAGTGGTTTGCACTGGAACAATTCTCTGCTTGTGTGACGCCTGACCTTTAACCTCTGAAGTCCAACCTTGAGAGGCTGCTTGAAGGCACTTTTAACAGACAGAGAGACCAACACATCCATCTGAGAAGCAGGTAAGAAATCAGTCAATTAAAGTTCTACAACTTTCAAAAATGGTCAAAAACACATTTGTATGAAGCTAATTTAATTTCAGGCTGTGCAGCAAGTTAGTCTTTTTTTCCCAAAGTGGCTTAAGAATTTGTTTTTGAAGCAGTAGAAAAACAGTGTCTAACTGATTGTGATAATGACAGCTGAGCCCATGCTAAACCTCAAAAAAAGAGGATTTTCAAAGGTTGTTGGGTTTTGTTACTGACTCTGCACAATATGTTGAAATGTTGAAAAAAAAAAAACTAATTTGCTGGTTATGTGGTCTTAAATTTCTCATCAAAACATTTCAACAGATCACTCTGGGCTGTCTGAAACATACATGCACAGTCTAAAAAGGGTTCTTTAGAGCAACATGCAGGGGCGATGTCAGGGTGCCTCAATCATTCTGGCTCATTTTAGGTCCCATAATTCTCATGAAGTTGTCAGGTGAATTTCAGTCTCTTTCTAGACCTTGTAGAGAGCGCCAAGTGGACTACTTAGAAATTGTGAAATATTCTTGGCCTATTTTTTAATATAATGCGTGAGTCTTAATAAAACCACGGACCACAAGGAAACTGCTTTTTTCTCTGCAGTATACACATGTTCCAGTGCAGGAAGAGAGGAGGCGGACTCTGTGTTTAATCAATGATACAGTACAGTACAGTTACGTTTCCTGACACCCAAATTTAAAAAATGCACTGCAGATTATGTATGCGTATATATGTTTATAAATATCTGTATATATAGTTTAATTGTATTTATGTTATTTTAATATACATTTAATTGCCTTTTTCTATATGTGTAGCATGAAGAGACTGTAAACTTTCATTTTCTTGTACGACCACGTTGTATAAATGTATAAAGATAAATAAATTGCCTTGATCCTTGGGAAAAAAAATATCTTGTGGAAAGTGAAACAAGCTTAAGAAAACCTATTCTGATAAAACAAAGAATCCTCTTTGTACATGTTGATATAAAAAAGGTGTATTTCTGAATATTTTCATTGTGAAAAACACATTATTTTAATATATATTTATGATGATGAAAATAGGTTTCTGTTTTATTGCTTTGTTTTACTCATTGTTAATTTGTTTGAAGATTAAATACATAACTCAGCTAACATGTGCTTAAATTATTGTCAAGGAAGCATCTTTTTTCCAATTTCTTTTAGGATGTCTGAGATGCCTGCTTTCCCCCGAATGTCCTTCCTGTTGCTTTGCATTCTGGGTATGACCGTGGTGACATCTGGCTTCCCTCAGCCTCGACTATCTCTCAGGTGGTTACTCACTAAATCTCACTGAGGTAGCAACAAACTATTACTGTTAATGCTACAATGGTACCAAAATAATCGACCACTGAGCTAACTACCTCAGATACCTAAATGTATTTTCTCCATAATATGCTGCACTTATTTTGTTATTTGTAACAAACACAGTCTTATCTGATTCCAGAAGTCCTGAGGATTCAGCCGAACCTAAACGAGATGACTGGGATGTCCTTTTCCCCTCCATCTCTCTCCGTGATTGGAGCATTCAAATGATGTCAGCCCCCAGCCTCGGAGCAGCCAATAGCAAGGCAGGACTGATGAGAGAGGCGTGGCTGTTTGCCCCAGAAAGGGCAGAGCCCAGGTAAGCCCACAGTGAGGGAAAATGCTATATTAAAGTTCAAATCAAAGGAAACAACAGGAGCGTAAAACAGATGTTAAAAAGCAGCCACACTTTCTTACATTCAGTGACATTTATGTTAGAACGTCATTTGATAGGGACAGATACAGTAAACATAGACTGAAAACAGCAATCCAACGCAAGTATCATAGTGTTCATAGTGGATGTAAATTTCAGATGAACTCTTTAGTTGTACTTATGTATAAATTGTACAGATTGTATCTACAGTATCAGTGTGAGTTGTGGCCAGAGTTATTATAGTTTTGTATTTTTTATTCAGTTTTATTTTTATTTCATTTTTAATTCAGTTCAGTTTTAGTTTCCAGAGATTGCACATTCCAGTTTAGATTTAAGTGTTTAGTTGTGTTTAGTTTTTTATTAGTTTCAGTGTTAGTTCTAGTTTATTATAATACAAGGGTGTTTGTCAGGGGCAAGACTTTGGAAGTTCAGAATAGATACTACAATATGAACCCACTGACTCACAGTCATGTAGACATCGCTATCCCAGTCTCAATAAACACATTCTCCAATGCCTCCTCATGCTCGACGTGTTGACAAATTTGACCAGTTTGATAAAGACTAAAATTAAAGACTTTTCCTGTATATTTTGTATTAATTTTAGTTCGTTTTGTAAGTAAACAATATTGATTTAGTTAGTTATCATTTACTTCTCACTAGTTTTTATTTTTATTTCAGTTCACTGAATTGTTTTTTTCAAACCTAGGTTTAGTTTTTAGTTTAGTTTTAATTAACAATAATAACCTTGGTTGGAGCTGAATACTACAGCATTGAAAATAAAAGAAGTTAGCTTACTAGACTTCTGTAGCCCACTCCTCATCAGCAGCTCCAAACTAGCCACTACTAGACACACTAACACGGTCTAGTTGCACTGTGGGTAATGTAGTTGTGTGAAATAAAAAAGATATATCTGGTTCTGCTAAACAAATTGTAATCTTTTTTTTTTTAAATGTAGTACTTAATCCACGGAGCAGTTGTTTAATAGGAAATCCTGAATCTCTGCGACACTTAAATTAAAAGAAAATAAAAATAATTACTTTTAGAGGCCTAGAGGTTAAACTATAAAGTATCTCCCCCCAAAAAAGGAAAGATTTGCAAAAATGCGGAAAAATAAACGACATGCAGGTTGGGAACCACCACACTAAATGAGTGTTTGTATTGTTCTGATTCGGATGAGATTACCCTTCATAGGAACAGACATTTTGGAAAATACACTTATCACTTCCTTGTCGAGAGTTAGACAAGACTACTCTATGCACTAAATATGAAGCCAGGCAACAGTTAGCTTAGCATAAAGACTGGAAACAGCTAGCGTGGCTCTGTCCAAAGGTTAAAAAGAAAAAGTGATACACATAACGTCCTGTAAAACCACCACAACCTGTTTTTATTAACTGAACTTAATGGCGGGTTTTGTTACCTCTGTTCTCAATTTTCAAAATAAGTTAGACTTGTTAGGCTCATATTTACGGTGTGGTACTGATCCTATCATCTCACTCTCAGACAGTGAATACATGTAAGTGTATTTCCCAGAAGACTATTCCTTTAAACAGCTATTCCCAAAGAAAATGTGTTGATGTTATTTATTTCTTTTTATTGGGGGCTATACCAAAATGAAGCAGTGCATCTACACTTTCAAGTTTCATTAATTTTGTCAACTCAGATTCAGCTCAAATGATAAAAAAAACAGCAATAATACATTAGTGTTGGAGCCTCTGGTACCTGGATTGTTTCCTAGCCACTGATCTGGAGGTCTTGGTCTGTGTTATGTCTAGCATGGAGAGGGCGTGGCCCGCTGAATGGTCGTCTCAGGGTGCCGGCATGGTGAAGAGGAACATGGTGGTGGCTGATGATGCTGCCTTCAGAGAGAAGAGTAAACTCCTCACCTCCATGGAGAGACAGAAGTGGCTCAACTCCTACATGCAGAAACTACTGGTGGTTAATTCTTCATGATACTGGCAAAAAGCCATTTAAAGGGATGTTAAGTCTCTGGGTAACTGCACAGAGAGAAGACAGTAGTGTAGACATCAAAAGACATTAACACTTGCTGTTCTATTTCTTTTGGAACTTTCCCTATTTTATTCTAATACTTAAGTTATTGATTTCCCAAAAGGTGGTTAAATGAATAATTCAGAAAGTCTGTTGGTGTTGAATATACATACATCTAAAGTGAATGTTGGTCCTGCTGAAAATAATTTGGTGTTATTCAACTTGATGCATAAATAAAGATGTAAATTATGTTTTTGACAACTGTAGCTTGTGTCTTACTTCATACTGTGTTGATGTATCAACAGCTGGAGCTGGACAATAGTATTTATATTCATCTACCTGAAGAATTTACACAATTTAACTTCAGCCAAAAGCAGGATGTCAGTGTTTATGCTGGTTATATACATTTTGGAGACACATTTAGCCATATAGCAGTCAAATACATTTACAAAAACATTAGTACATTAGTAGTTCAACATGCTGGGAGATACACTTGTTTGCAACTTTTCCTGAGTGAGATGAGAATATTTACATCATATCAATACATTCATATTTTTTCAGAGCCAGGCTAGCTTTTCCCCCTGCTAGTCTTCACACTAATCAGGGCTAACCACATGACTCCAGCTCTTATTTTCCTGACTTATACAATAAAGTTCTTAAACACTCACATCGCGAGGACACATAGATATTAATTCCATTTCTCATTCATCTACAATGGCTTTGACTGCTGACCTTGATAATATTAGCGCTAATGTCTGGGCAGTAGGAATGTCATTTTATTCTCTAACACGTATTGCAAGACCGTTGGTGAAATAGATAACTGTCTAAAACATACATAATACATAAATTGTAAACATGGAGGACAGCTTGCATATATTAATAATTATTTATTAGCTTTATGTATATAGTTTTTTCTGATTCACCTGGTGTTTTTGTAGCACTTTGTAACTTTGTTAAAAATGACACATAAAAGATTAACATCATTCTCAGCTACAACAAACTTAAGTTGTTAAAAATGTATTTCCTTGTGAAAGTAAAAACTGCTAGAAAATATCTGGTTTGCGTCCACATGCAAAGTGAATTTTTGCCAAACTCACCCATCCTTTGATGGATGTTATTTCTGAATGAATAAATCAGCTTCCTGAATATCAGAACACTTCCATCACAGAAATAGCAGTCATATCCCACGCTGCCTGGAAATCAAAAACAGTCTATGGGGGTATCAACACCAGTTCATCCAGCCTGCCAACCATCTCCTGCAGCCGCATCCTATTGGCCTGTCTCTGCCTGTCCCTCCGCTCCAGCAGCAAAGCCTCTGTCTGAAGAAGCAGCTGCGCAGCCTGAGACGCTGGGAGCTCGTGTGGAGCCTCAGCCCTGCCACGGGGCCCCTCTGGTAGGTGGCTCCTGTTTTTGACTGGCCTCTCAGTCTGGAGCCTGGCTCGGTAGACCTGGGAGAGGGAGGGAGGGAATGGGAGAGAGGAGAGAAGAGGAGGGAGGGAGGAGGTGTCCGATTGTTGCTGCAACCTCTCTCCTCTTTCTCCTCTGTCCGCTGCGTCCCCTCTGCCTCTACTCTGTCCTTTCTGAGACATCAGATGAAGGGATTTAAGAACATACAGCAGATATCATTTCAAACAAGAATGTATGTATTACAACATGTCAAGTGATTATTAAGCTTTCTGTCTTCATACTGCCATATTTTCTTAATTGGCATCAAACCTCAATGCTCGTTTGATACTGACTGAAATGTGTCTATAACACGTAATACTGAAAAAGAACAAATATCTGGTCATATTTGTAATCTTGTTAATTTATCATTTAATCATTTATTCCATTCATGATTTAAATAAAAAAAGCTGCCAATTTTAGACTATTTAATTTTTAGCAATATTCTTGTATGGTCGTGGTAACATAATGAGACTCTACTGTGCTACTAATGGTAGCTAATGGTAGAAAACCTTGTTTTTACAGGTTATATTTACTTCAGACTGAGTATGACTCAGTACATACTGTTGCTGCTTTTTCATTCCCTTTCATTTTCAACAACTGCATTTCTCTCCAAGGAAAAACCATAAGGCACCTCTATAGGAATGAACACCGTGTGTGTGTGTGTGTGTGTGCGTGCGTGCGTGCGTGTGTGTGTTGCACACCTGTCCTGTGGGCAGTCTCAATAGCATTTCCTCCAATTTCTCCAGCCCCCGGTTTCCGTGGTGACACACTCTCACACTCCCATTGGGTGCATATGTAGGCTTCTCAACATCAGGATCTGTCAGATGGCAGTCCACCACACTGTCCTGCACATACACACATGATTTGCGTCACATTTCTTGGCGCATGTGGCTGCTTGATTTTAAAATAGCAAAGCTGTTGGCTGCTCAAATAAATGTGTCCAAATGTAGTCGAGTCTATTTGGGGTGAATTTGCACATTCACTTTTTAAAGAATTAACAATTTTACAACATTTTCTTATGGCAGGAAACTATATACATGTCACAGCAACCTAATGTTTTTAAATACAGATTTATAAAGAATCATGAACCACAATGTGGGAAATCCCTCTTGTGTTAAATTGTGCTGTTGTTTTCCAGTGTGTTTCTGTGTCTAACTCACCATCCAGGTCCAGAAGACTTTCTCCACCTGTCTCCAGTTCAGATATGCTTCTAGGAGCTCACAGAGCTGCCGCATACAAACACAGTCCTTGAACACACACATCAGAGTTATAAATACAGCCAAAAACATAGTGTGTTCAAGATAGTATGATTTTATAAGACAAAGAATTCAAGCAAACCCCCTATTTCCTGTCCATCTTTACCTGTCCTATGAAATAAAAAGCATAAAAAGCATGGCAAAATAAAAAATGATTGTGTGGTTCAATTATTGTGGGGGCTTTTTGCCTTTATTTGATAGAAAAAGGCCACAGGTCGGACTTGAACCCATGGCTCACTGTTGGTACATGGGGGCACCAGGGCACCCCATGAAAAATGCTTAATAGCTAATTAATCTATCACAATAAAATGTCTCAGTTCAGTTGTTATCAATCCTTTTTCATGACCTATTTTTAATGAAGAAAATAAATTAATAAAAAGTTTACCCACTTTATTTATCAAGGTACACAGTTAATGCATTAATGTTCTATAATACTTGTTGAGCTGAGTACCTCTCCATCATAGACTCCCTGTGGATTCTTTCTTGAGATGTAACAGATGTAGGGTGTGACTGATGACAGCAGCTATGGTGATTCACTCAGAGCGTGCTCCATTATCAAGGGATATGATGGGCTGTTTATGAGCCAGGGTGTGTTCATTCTGTGCTTTCATGGCATTTAATGCATCTAAGGAAGACTATCGATATTCTTTTGAAAAATGTGTTTATTCCCAATACATATTGCTATTGTTTTATTGTCCAAGCCTAACTCTAACTATAGGCAGAGGATATTGTTAGTAGTAATTCATTTTAATAACAGCAAACACTCACCTCCCTTAGAACTGCTGAGCTCTGATCAGAGGATGCAGGGGGGGGAGGGGGGCAATACAGACCTGAGAAAAACATTGATTTCTTGGTTAGACTTGAATATAACTTTGGCTATGTTCACACTGCAGGCACAAGCGACCCAACACACAATGATAACCTGTGAAAAAGTTGGAAAAGGGGGGATTTTCTCACAGCATGGAGCAGATGAGTTCGCTCTTCTTGCATGGACAGCAGGGTCCGCCACTGGTATCTCAAACAACCAATGAGCCACTGAAGTTTCCTCAGAGATGCCGAGTCTAACTGGAGCTCACCGGACGGGTGAGTGTTCACCTAACAAAGAGAGAGAGTAGAGAGTAGAGATATAGAAGTGTAAAAATAGAAATGCAGAATTAGGTTTACCAGTATAACGTGGTAGTATACCAGGAAGTGTTTGCAAGGATGAAGGAGGGTGTAGCCTTTTGTTGGTCAATAAAACTGAAAGTGTCAAATGCTGTTGACACGTACCATTACAGGTGGAGGTGTGAGTAATGTTTTGTCCAATCGCTGCACTCGCTGTGTCAGCAGTTTCTCCAGTGTTCCAGCGGTGAGCAGCCAGGCCAGCGCCAGGAGGAGGTCTCTGCTGGAAAAACTCTGTCCCTTGCCCCCTTCTCCTCCCTCCCTGCCACACATCCAGTCAGCATGGTATCCAGTCTGCCAGAGGCCTGCAACTACCAGCTTCCGGTGCTCTGGGGCTATACACAGACAGAGACATTCAGTCACTCAGCAAGTCCACTTAACTGTTTTCGGGCCTTCTAGAAATGTCAGTCTAGTTGGTCCAGTTAATTTTGGTCCAGTTAAATCTGCATATCAGGGTTCCCACTCTTTTTAAGAAATCATTTTCCAGCACTTGCTCAAAAGTCACAATGTTGATTAAATGCTGAACAGAAAAGATGTATTTATAAGCATACTGAACCTTTGGTAAGGTAAGCCATTACAAACTCATGTTGTGTGGAGAAGAATGGCACAAGCCAAAGAGACTTTATGTGTGAATTACAGATAAAGTACATATAAAATTATGCATAACTCACTATGAATTAATTATAATATAATTGATCTGAGAAAGGTAATTCTGCATGCTGAATAATGTGACCTTTTGGGTGCTTTTCCATAGACCACTTTCTGACTTACACTATTGTAATGTGTAGAGGCAAGAGCCGGCTCATAGCACAGTCTAGAAAATGTCCAGCTTCCATCATAATGATGGAAACAAAAGAGAGTATCTTTTTACAAAACTCTGTAATGTTTCCAAGCAAATTGTTATTAATTACTTGTGAGTTTTTGGGGTATTTACATGTCTGTTTTGTCAAGGTTGGATGTTTTTTTTTTTAAATCAGTAAAGTCCTGGACAAATAGCATTGAAGGCCATGAACAGATCTATAAAAAAAACAAACAGACAATGTGACTGACCTCCACCTAGCTGTGCACCAGCTTCACAGGAAACAATGCCAGCTGTCTGAAGGATGTTGGTGAGGAGCTGCCAAAACTGATCCTCCTGGAAATCAACAGTGATCAGAAAGATGTCTGTCAAAATGAAACATATAGAGCTTTATAAAAAAATCTCAAAGTTAAACTTTTTGTGTTTCTTTTTAAGATTACAGATTTTATAGTTGCTGTTTTATCCAAATCCTGACCACTTGTTTTCCCACTGTCTGCTCCTGCAGTGATCCAGTTGAGATCAGTGGAAATGATTAAAGCGTCATCCTTCATTTTACCAGAATACCATACAGTCCCAGACTTTAATGATGCCTTGTTTGGCTGGTATGTAATAGGAAACCATCAAATGCTTTGTATGTAAATTCAAGTAACTAGTAACTAAAGCTGTCAAATAAATGTAGCTAGTAACTATTTTATCAGAATGTAACGTATAATGTATAATGTATAAAACAAAGTACAAGTACCTCCAACAGGACAGAAGTATGGACCTCGAGAAAACCTAGTAACCCCCCCCCCGACAGTGAAAAGGCATAAACGTACCACCTCGAGTCCACCACCAAATTTAGCCCGCCTGAAGGTTTCCGGTGCGGGGACACTTTCCAGGCCGGTGGCCGTCAGCAGTCTGCACAGAGCTCCTATCACCTGCTTCACCTCCACACTCACGGCGGCTTTACTGCGCTGCATTACAGCCACACAGCACTACACGCAAATGAGCGAACTTTCTACCCACTCAGCTATCACATTTGGTCCAACAGAGACACTGTTGTATCTTGTATAAAGACATTTTCAATCACATTTCTACCGCTCTCAAGTTCTCTTGTTGATATTTCGCGGCGACTTTAACAACTTCCGGGTACGAGGTCGTTGCCAAGGAGGCATTTGACTGATATCTATGTTGGCCAATTATAAAGGTGATTCAGAAAGCGGTGGGCAGGGCTTATTTTTCATTGGTGCGTTAACAATTCATTTTTATATACATGGAAATATTCATATACTCTGTAAGAAAAGTTTGTTTATTAAACTTTTAGTTTAACAGGGAGGAACATGTTAGGATAAATAGGCCAGTTGCATAACCTTAAGTAACCTCTTGGCAGTGGTGGAATAAGTATTAAGATCCTTTACTTAAAAAACTAACAATACTACAGTCACTGTGATAATAATTAAAGTCCTGAAAACCGTAATCAAGAAAAGTATACAAACATTATCAGGAAAAATATACTTAAAGTGTCAGTAAATGTAGTTTGTTACATTCCTCCTCTGGCTTTTGGTTTGAATTACAAAAAACGGTAATTCCTATTAGAATCTATTTGTCCAATTACTTGATTACTATATTACTAAGAATACTCTTATATTTCAAGTGACAAGGTTCAACTGGTACTCTTCAATAGTTTTTATTTCAAATATCAAAATCATTTAAAAATCATAAACATCTCACAATTGTATGTACAAACATGCCTAAAATAATTTAAAACATGAAAATCATTTTACACACACAAGTAATAAGTGAGGATTATGCTACAAGCGTTAACGTAGGTATCACATCTTAAAGAACAGTAAGAATGTAGAAACTACAGATCCAAAATGACCATAAAACTGAGAGTAAAATACAGTAGACTAGCCTCTGCCCTTCAAAAACATTAGAGCCGCATAATCATGTTAAATCTGAATATGACCAAGTTAAGACACATGACCTCAGTGTTATATAGCCAGCAAGATCTCAGACAACGCAGCAGCAAACAGATCAGCGGATGTATTTTGGTCATGTAAGTTTCACTCTCGATATTGCATTGGCTCCAGTTCAGGCAAAGGCTTCTGCAACGTAGCTGGAGATGGTCCCTTACGCCCCATGAGGACAGTACATACTGTCTAACTAACTTAACCTCCATATTGCAATGCTACTGCTGCTTACTACCTGAGAAGTCAGTGGTTGGTAACAGACCCTGATTTCAGCTAATTCCTAAATTTTGATACCAACTACCAGGGCAGGATGCAACTATTTGCTGGATTTCAAGACACTTTCTCAAAACATCAGCTGTTCCACTGCTTAGTCCAATCTCCAGTGTGATGTGAAATGTAGTATAATTCAGCTAATCTTTGGCTTTATGTGATCATCTCTCCGTGGTGATGCTATGGAGGGAGGACGGTGTTACTGTAGGTATTTACAGCCAATTCCTATTAGCCTAGAGAAGGTCCCGCAGCGTGGCGCTAATAGTATTACCTAATCAACGTCTGGTCCACACAAATGTCTCTGCTCACTAGTGTGTGTGCTATACTATGCTTTAGTTCTTGCTAGAAGAACATAAAGAGGCATATAAATCAAGGACACTCTAAAAAACAGGTTGTAACTGAAAGAGCTTTTGGCTCACAAATGGTACTGAACCACAAATTACACAGTCAGTTTCTTAGTTAACAACAACAGTTAGTAGTAGCTTAACAGTAAAAATAATCATAATGCTGTAAATAGCATTAGGACATGTGCTTATTATGTATTTCCACTTATAAGGTCTCATCAAAACCTCTCTCTGGTCCCGTACCCACAAGGCCTGAAGTATTTACAGACTTTTAAAACGCACACATTCTGTCTATTTGTTGGTTATTTTGTGCTTGTTAATCTACAAGAAAGCCTATGCGGTTCAAAATCATTTTATAGAAAGAAAAGCACCATAACAAACCATACAAAACTTAAAAAAGGGAAGACTCTTAGGGAAGGGGGTTGTCATTTTTGCAGATAGTCATGCTTTTCAGCTCTCTCCGTCTCCTTCATCCTCTTCCTGTTTGATGACTGGGGTTCCTGGAAACAACAAGAAATCACAAATTGTATCTTCAAAGAAACAACTTTTTACTTAGTGGCAATGTAAATGTTGTTCCATCCATCCTTTATCTATATGCGCTTATCCTCTGCAGGGACGTAGGGGGGCTGGAGTCAATCCCAGATGGCAATGAGGGAGAGACGAGGTAGACCATGGTGATTTAGAGTCACCAATTTACCTGCGTGTCTTTGGACTGTGGGCACCAAGAGGAAACCCACACAGACACACAGAGAACATGCAAACTCTACACAGAAAGGCCCTGCTCCAGCCACAAACTCCCCGTCTTTTTTTTTTCTTTTCAGAATGTCATTTCCAAATAATTTTCCAGGAATGTAATATGATACTAAAATGTGAATGATCTAAATTTCAAACTGCCGGTCCGGGGGCCATTTCCAGCCCTCCACCCCACTCCCTCCGGTCTGTGACATGATGTCAAAAACATAATATAATCCAGCCCACAATATTATTAGTTTTTTATTTTTGTAGTTATTTAATGTCTTTGCAAACTATCCTTTCATATGCAATTAAAATAAAAACCCAATTCTATTTTAGATGTTACGTTTGGCACAAAATAATGGCAAAGGTCAAAGGTGCCTGCAAAAAAGGGTTGATAAGAAAGAGCAGGTTTTGGGTCTTCATTTGTTGTTTGGCTGCAAACAACAGAGATTATATGAAATGAGGATATAAAAATGTATACAAAGTGCTGTTTGCATTTTTTGTGAAGTATGATGTTAGTAATGGAAATATTTTCTGAATATTGGACTCCGTTGCAGGATCTGAACGTTGAAGTGGCCTCCTATGAGATGACAATACCAGCAGTGCCCCCGAGACAGTTTGAGTTTGAGATCCCTGCTCCAGGTTATGCTGGCAATTAATTTAAATGAATTAATTAGAAATTATTCAGAAATTAAAGACCAGTAAAGTGTTACCACAAATTTTTTTAACATATGCTGCAATCACATGGGAATAGTTAGTTAGTTAATGGTTGAGTTATTTAATAGTCAGTTATTTAGCAGTGTCTTTCAACACTGCTTCACTCTTACCATCTAGTTTCTTCAGATTAGGCAGTCTTTTAGAGGCTTCATCCATCCAGGTTCCCTCTGCTGAATGCTTCTCCTCCAGAGGATTTCCAACAAACACCAGGTCTGCGAGGCATGGCAGGTCAGCTAGCCTCACAAACTCTCCTACACAGAACACAGGAAAGACATCACATACCAAAATAAAATTAAAGACCGCCACACATAGGATTTCAGCATCAGCAAACCATAAGCACATCTTAAAAATAAGAATAATAACCCTGAACTAAAGCAATAACTGCCAAAGAGTTTGAAACCTTTACTGGCCTCAATTAAGCTTTTTACACTGTGTAACACATTCAATTTTGATAAGAATTTTCATCCACACAAAATATGAAGAAGGTAGTGTGCTTCCAGTAGAAAGTGCAGTTAAAGCGTGCCGTGTCACTGGAAGAAATAAAAGGCTGATTGCAAAATCACTGCCGACATATTTACCCTCTTCAATAAAACAAACAGTGTTAGGCAAGAGGAGGAGCTTTCATTTTCAAAACAGGTCACTCAAAAATGTTCCATGAATCCATGAATAAACACATGGCAATTAATATTGTGTTATGTAGCTTACCCCATTCTTTAACCAGGTTGTTGGATATGTAGAGGACTCTGAGGTTCTTCATGCACTGGATTCCCTTCAGTCTCTCTATCAAGTTATAGGAGATCCACAACTCTTCTAATGTGTCCCCTACTGCTTCCTGCACACACATGTGTACCCATTTTAAAAAGCTAAACAAACTATGTGAAGAAAGAATGAAAAAAGGCAGAAATGAAAAAAGAAGGAAAAGAGAGAAATAATAAAATAAATGTATAACTTACCAGCCCAGTGAGGGCCTTTATATTATTTCTTCCTAATGACAATATCCTCAAGTTCTCTGGAAGTACACAATACAACAACAATACATCACATTACAACACTGCATTCCATCCGTGAACAGAGTGTGTTTGTGTGTGGCTGTATGTGTTTATGCAGTCATTACTCACTCAGGCCATTGAGATTGGTTATTTTCTCAATGCAGTTTGTGGACAGAGACAGCCTCCTGTAACATATTGGGTATTTAAAGGGTAATATACTAGTCGAGTTTAAAACATTGGTGATTAGACACTATTACTGCACTATATGATCTGCTACAGAACATTCTATTCTTGCCCTGAGAAGTCAGAGAGTGATGAACGTTAACTTATCATTTGATTTCATCGTTATCTGATCTATATGAAGTTACTTTGGTTGACCTGCTTTCACTCATTGAGTTACGCTGTTGTTGATTGTGTGAATAAAAATAAAGTATATGTGTTTGTGTATACAGTCTATGATTTGTGTTTCTAAATTTCCAGGTCATTTCTGAAAGTTTGAAGAGCGAGAAAACATCATGGAAGTGCAGTTTGAGGGCAAACTACACAATGACCTACATACATCTACCTACCTTAGCTCCACTGTTAGATATTTATGGCATCAAATAATAGCTCCTCTCAGAGGAAAACACACCAAGGCTACACTTAATTCTGGACAAACTGACTGTACACAGCCTGGCAGGATTCTTTGCCTGCCATTTTCAGGGCAAAATGTCACTCCAAGATTTCACTGTTGTGGTGCTTGTAGAGAGAAACTTGGACCCAATCAAAGTGAATTAATCAAAGTTGCTTAATCTAAATAACTGCCACACTGATTTGGAGTGTAAATAACCATTAGCTGAAGCTCTGGGTATTATACATGTTCTTTAATAGAGACATTAACCTTATTAGCCTTATACTTATGTAAGCTACTAAATGCAAAAACGGTTATACCAGCCATCCATTTTTCAGAAGTGTAAAGCTGTATTTCCACAGACTCTCCAAAAAGTAGAGCTAAATTATACACAGGAGGAAAGCTGACAGACATGAGCAACACTTTTGCAATTGAGAAAAAAACATATACAGTATACAGTGCCAAATGGTCATC